ACATAAACATACTGAATACATACGCACGCATATATATATATATATATATATATATATATATATGTGTGTGTGTGTGTGTGTAATACAGAACTATTGATGTACAATTAATGTCACGCAAATGAATTACTCAATTTGGTATCTCTGATCACTATAAGATACGTGTGTATGTATATATATATATATATAAATATATATATATATATATGGAGGACTGACTCATAACTTGTGTAAGTTTAAGATACTGAAATCTTCTGAAAAGATTGTCTTTTTCCTTTTGTATGTGACGACAAAATGGAAAGAGCATTTATTCCTACGAACCTAACAAGTCCCTTACAATTTATGGGCGGCGCCCTTTTCTCTTCTCTGTGACTTGTATTTACAAATCTTACTGTGGCCACTGCTCATGCATACATACACACATACACACACACATATATATATATATATATTGATTATCGCATGATGGATTTAAATTAAAATCACGTGGAACATAAAACTTAGCCGAAAGGAGATTCGATCATGACACCACAAGTGGAGCTGGTTGAGCTTCCGGCTTCACTATAAATACTGTTTTGACATTTCTATATTTTCTTCCCCACACCCATTTCCCCCCTATTGCCTCCCGTAAATAAATAGAAGTGTATCATGTTGGAGCTATAAGTATGATCATATATACACATATATAAACAATCAAGCCCGATTGCTACAAAGTTGCTACAAAAGTGCTTCCAAACTAGATAGAATAGACGCGGTTTTGGCGTCAAGAACGATTGCTACAAAGTGTTTCCAACCCAGGTTCAAGTCCCATTGAGTTCAACTCTTATAAAAAAATATATAAGCAATCACCCACTTGTGCAGGAGAATCCAAGGATATGTTCAACGATTAACTGTCCATATATAGCTCGCTTATTCTATGTAATGCTAGCAATATACTGTGGTTTGGTTCATGGGAGGTGTTCACAAGTGATGAACAACATCTAAGTACCTAAAGGATTTGCTATTATATATCAAATATATATAGAGACATACCCATCATCTAAGTACCTAAAGCATTTGCTATTATATAACAAATATATATATATAGAGACATACCCATACATATACATATATATACACGTGTGTGTACCTTAACTAGTGCACTTCACAGCAAGGCAAGGATTAGGATCATAGCTTCATACACACATCTACGTTCACTTATTTTACTTAATCTGGCAAATGTATCGTTTATACTGAATTAGGGTTAGCCATATATGTGACAACAAATGCATGTGTAATTTGAGAAATTGGAGGGGGGTTTTTTTATTGAAAGGTGAGTAAATTACACCCAAGATAAGCACAAAGACAGAGGCCCCACATATTTATATTCCATTAGCTCAAGGGTCACCATCAGTGTGTGATATGACCCACACCCATGTTCTTCATAAGTACATAAATGAGATCGAGAGATCAGATTTTGTTTCAGTCTTAGGAATTCTCCCCACACTTTATATTAAATATATTTTTTGCAGGTGGGGTTCATAAATCTAACGCAGCCTCTTGATATCTATCTACTCTTATATGTTATACGGCCCACTCTCGATTTACAATTACGTGTAATGTACTATAGTTCACCCCCCTAAGACAAACACAATCACAAAGCAGAGAAGACACGCATATACATACATACATACATACATACATATATATATAGAAGATGCAAAGAATGTACCTTATACCGAACGCCTATAAATGATGATCATCGGTTACGCATGGAGGGAGATACTACATCGCCGAGCAACCCTTCTGCCGATGGACGAGATTCTTGACGTTCTTCACCACTAGGAGGAGGTTGAAGAGCTAATGTGTTGCTCCTCCTTGGAGGAGCCTCCCTTTGAAGATGATGAACCATTCCTTGGTAATTATACGGATTCGACATTATTGCCTGCGGGAGATGAGAAGCAAAACGATGAGCTTCGTGACTGGTTAGGACTCCGCCTCGAGGAAATCCGACGGTGTGGTGGCAATGTTGGCCTTCGTATGTTGTTATCACTGTGCTCGGATCCTCGGATGAACGTTCCACCCTCTTCTTCACGGTGCATTTGCTGTTCGTGCACCGGTAGTAGCTCCTATGTGGCCACGAAATTTCGAATGGAGATAAGCGATTATGCATAATTGGACAATCAACTCAAACTCAAACTTCATCTATATGCATACTTCATAGTTTCACCGACATTGTCCAGTATGCCATTCACATCATCTGTCCTAAATTCAAAAGAATATCCATTCTTTTCCATAAGGGTTTCGATTAAAAGCTGAATTAATAATATCCTCGAGAATCAAGTACCGATCTTTATCTTGCTCAACCCAACATTCTTTTAACTCGCTTATATAAAGATTGTAACAAAAAAAGCATTACAAAAGGGGAAAATGAGAAGAATTTTGAGAGGGGACCTTGGGAATGGACTGTTTTTCACAGCCTTCTGTCCATACTTTCGCCACCTATAGCCATCTTCGAGATTATCAACATCGCTCTTTGTCATGAAAGCAAATCTTGGCTGCCTGATTCGCTTCTGTACCTTCTTCTTCTCTTTCTTCCTACAAAAAATGAGTTCGGACTGACCTCAACATCACAAAATCTCACCATATATATATATATAACCAATAGTCATCAATGGTCAAGCCATGTGAATTCATTACAACATGCATGCAAGCCCCTTTTGTCTTGTTGTTACACGCACCATGAAGGAAAAAGGCAATAAATCGAATAAGGAAAAAAGCATGCACCGACTAGATTTCTGTATATTCCTGGTGGTGGATTCATACTCTAATTAGAATTAAACAACTCAGAAAAAAATAAAGACTCCATCAATCTCCGCCGACATAAATGGCTAAACTTTCTCCCACTGGCTTCTTAAAGGAATCATTTTTCCTCTAGAATATTGCATCCCATGGCTCTAAAAAAGTACAATCAATTAAAGCAAAAAAAAAAAAAAATCGGAACTGGGTTTTCGTTCTTTTTGAATCCAAACGCCATTACCGTATGCGATTCGCAGCAAGAAAACGTGAAAAGGCTTTTTGACAAACAGTTCATAGGCGTTATGATAAACGAGAAACTACAGCCACAGAGAGCTTTGATGATCACAAAAAAAAAACTATGTATAAAAAAAAACAAGAAAGGACTTCGATTGCATTAAATCTTCCCTTTTCTGACCTAACATTTGTTTAAAATTCGCAAAGACAACAAAAAGAAGCTAACTTTACTGAACAAAACATTCAAAATTAATAAAAAAGGATGCGAAAAAGGGTGGGAAAAAAGGAGATGTAGAGAGCACGCTAATATTGCAGCCGCAATAACGACGGTGGTCAATGATCGATATTCTATATATATATATATATGTATATATATAATTTTCTAATTTTTTTGTTTTCCCGAGAATGCCACCGACGATTCATCGAATTTACCAAAATTACCTCGACTGCTCTGCAGAAACCCTAAACCCATTAAAACAATGTATCTTATGACTTGTACGGACACTAGTAGACCTTAATCTCACTCCTTTTTTGTGTACTAAAAAAAAAGGATTTGGCCCTAAAGGAAGCAACGAAGATGGAAAAATTACGATCGGGCCCCTGAAAGCACCCCCTACAATTACACCACGTGTTTCTCGTCTCACGGCAGAACGCACTCACGGTATCTCAGGCGGATTTCCGACGGATCCCGTTGAGTTCTCCGGCGCTGGATCCTCGCTGGAGCTCGACGAGGCCGACGGATTCGATGTCGACGCTTCCACGACCGCCGCGCCGGGGGCAGTAGTGGAGGAGCACGAGGATATCCCCGACGGTGGAGGCGGATCTGGCTCCGCCGGAGTGGAGGCGGAGGTGGAGGACGGCGGATCTGCGCCACCGATGCAGGGTAAGATTGGCGGGAAATCGGAGTGGAAGCGGAGGTCAAGGGCGGTGTTCCAGGGGATGAGGTCGGAGAGGATGGAGGAGGCGTCTCTGTCGAAGAAGAGGTTGACCGAGTCGGGATCGGGTGCACCGAGTCCCCATGACGAGTCACCGGCGCCGGGATCGTTCTCGCCGGGATCGTCCATCTCCGGAGAGCGATCAGAGCTAGGGTTTGGGTTGAAATTGAAGTGGTGAAAGTGGGGAGTGTCTTGTCGATGAGAGAGATATCTCTCTGTCTCTCTGGATTTTTATGAAAAATAATTGAGAGAGAGAGAGAGAGAGAGAGAATGGAGGGGGAGAAGGAGATAACGTAGAGAGGAATAAAATAATTAAAAAATAATAATAAGAAAAGGAGCGTCAACCGAAAACGGTACGGGAGGCTGTTATTCGTGGGGGCCCTCACGACTCCGTCTCATATATTAATTTCCCTTTTTTTCTCGTTTTTATTTTGTATTAATCCCATTTTCCCCTTTGCAATTACCTTAATTTACACAAGCCATAATAAAAAAAACAATTTGATTAATTCTTATTCAAATCTAGGATTTTAGTTAAGATATATTTTTATATTATTTAATAGGATGATATATTAGGTTTAAAGCTTGAATAAAAAACATTTAGGTAATTTAATATAATCGAATATTTTCTAACTATCGTCTGTATATTCTAGATTAAACGTGTAAATTGTTTGTACAAAAAATTTTATTATCATTGTCTTGTATGAGGAGCTATAAACGGTCCGATTTTTCTTTAAATTTTATAAAAAAAAAAATAAATGGGAAATTAAATGTTTTATGCAATAACATAAACAACAATTGTATATATGTACTTTGACAAAAAAAAAACAATTGTATATATATAGAGTATGTATATGGATGCGTGTATCGATTCTTTGAGCATATTTCCGTCTTTATATGAATGCAAGGCATTTGGATTATGCCGTCGACATGTTACCTAAAAAAAATGTAACAAAAAGGAATCAAACAAGATCCGTTTTGCGTGATTATGTTCGTGGCGCTATTATTAACCAAGTTAATTAAAGCTCTTTCATTTTGGAGATATGTATGTATATATATGTGTGTGTGTATCTATATTATATATATATATATATATATATATATATATATCCAAAAATAAAAGCGGTGTGGACAAGACACAGAAAAGCGCGTAACTAGTGATTGATGGTTACAACGTAGAGTTATTGAGTTTTTGTATAATCGCATTGTTTCCATGGCGCGGGCGTGTATATACATATATGTACATATATGTGTGTGTGTGCATATATATGTATATGTATATTGATAAACTTTTTTTTTTTTACGACCGATTCATCCATTTTGTAGATAATCTTCTATATTGGACACTGGTTACAAAAAAAAAAAAAAAAATCGATTCATTCATTGTCATGAACTCAATTTATTACATATGAATTTACTCGATGCATGTGGTCCATATATATCAGTTATTAAGTACGCTTGAAAATATTAATTCATGTAAAATACATATTCGAGATTAGTGGTTGTGGAATTTTATACTAAATAATATTGCCATCATCATAAAAGTTATATTAGGGATAACACTCTATATATAATTCATGTAGACATTATTGTTTCCCTTAACCTGCAAAACAAAAATCCTAACGAATTTAATTTTGTTTATATTTTATAACATTTTTTCATTGTTGAACCCAAAATATTATTATGTAACAAAGTTCGGAATGAATCACCAACGCGTTTTATATTATTGCTTGAGATGGAAATTCAATGTTATAAAGTTATACACATGTAATTTTAAAATATTTGAAAACTTGGGTAATTTGTAAAACGTGTTTTTCCTCTAGATAAATTTGAAAATTCGGACGGGATATATGAATTATATAAGTCGAAATTATTTATTTGGACAGCATATAATATGTGATGGAGATTAGAAAGTAAAACCAATGGTTGATTCCAGCGTGTTGTCCGTGTTGCATATGACAAGAATCTAGCAAATGTTGTCCACAAACAATGAACGCAGCCACGTGGCATTTCTTAATCCTCACGATTACGACCTTAATTAATCCTATTTTTATTCGTTAATTTTTCGTGGAGCTATAATAATTACAATCTTTTAAACAACCTTTTTTTTTTTCGCAGTTACAAACTTACAATCACGGAAAATTATGCATATTTGGGTACCGGCTTATAGAACCCATACGAGGAGCGCTAATTTTCGATTAAAATCAAAATTAAAATAATTAGATTTATTTATCAAATTTTAGTGGTACGATGGATATTACAAATACAATGATAATATATATAAAAGTACATGACCGGTGCTCATAGTCCATGGTATAAATGTATACGTATACGTCTTGAAAACTTTGACGACGCCGATCGACGTACGTGTAGATGTATACGTACATACACGTACATATGTGTACATATGTATATATAAATACACTCAAATGTATATATTCGAACGCTCTATAATAATAATAATAATAATAATAAAATTATTCCAATTAAGAGAATTTCTGAATGTAGGTTTTGGTCTGTCGCTTTTGATCGTGCGCCAACGGTCACATCTACGTCGTCCACTCTCGTCGAGATCCACTTCCGCGTACACGCAATGGCCCCCTTTTTTTTTATCATCTTCATGAAATTGAATATAATTTTATTTATATACAAAATAAAAAAAATAAATTAGCAGGGAATTTTAAGTTTTTAAACAGTCCATAGTAAACGTAATATATGTAAAATATATTTTTATCTCTATATTAACCCTATTTCAACCAGCATTATATAAAAAAAATACTTTTACTTTGTTATTTTTACTTCAACACATACCCTTTTCCGTCTAGGATCTAATTATGATGATCAAACTAATTCATTATGTTCATCTCTCGTATATCTTACAAATCATTTGATTAAAACATCATAAATTTAACGTTATGAACAATGAGATCAACATGTGACCACACTATATTTCGGATCATATGAGTCACAAGGTCACAATGGGAGAATGGTATGTGTTGAAGTCAAAATAGCAAAATAAGAGTATTTTTGATTAATTTGGATTTTCATCTTAGCCGTCAAATGTAAACAGTGAAATTTCATAGTAATCATCGCTTCTAAAAATTAATTGTTAATCACATATATATATATATATATGTCACAACGGGAGAAGAGTATGTGTTGAAGTCAAAATAGCAAAATAAAGGTATTTTTGGTTAATTTGAGTTTTCATCTTAACCGTCAAATATAAAATTTAACGTTGAAATTTCATAGTCACCATCGCTTCCAAAAATTAATTGTTAATCGCGCGCAAATATATATATATATATATGGTTGTTTAGGGAATTTGTTGGTATGATATCAAAGTTAGTATGCGACACAAATTTTGGATAAATATACATTATGGAATATTCATATATATATATACACACACACACACAAAACATTATGATTTATGGTAATCTGAATACAATATTGATTACACATTCCAAATAAAATGTAACAGGTGTATATATATATATTGTAAATGCATTTAATTTGAAAAAGTTTTGATTTACAGTAATAAAAAATTTAATTAAGTTACAGTTAGGATAAAAATGGGATGGGGATATTCGATAGGGCCGACATCGCCCTAATCACATAATAATTGCGCAACTAAACTACTTAATTGATACTTGTTTAATCATAAATTTGAGGGGCTTTTATTTATTTGTAATTTGGTATTAATGAATATAGACAAACGTTACTCTCTCCTCAACAAAAGTGGGCCCCAAATGTAATAATAAATCTGAAGGGGGCATAGGAGCAATGAACCTTACAAGTTACAATTATCACGGAATATATATACCCTTATATATATATATATATATATTAGAGTAAAACCTTCGTGTCACCCAATCAACGTATAATAACAGTAGTAATAATTATTATTATTATTATTACAAAAGGGAACAAAAATAAAAATAAATAAAAAACAGTGATTGTAAGTTGGTGGTGAAGGTAGTGATGTTAAAATAATAAATCCTTCTCGTGAGTAAATTCGTGATTGATTCGTTTTTCTTTGTCTGAATCGAGCTGTAAAAATAAAAGATCAAATAAAAACGGGCCGAACGGATCAACTCACTGCGAGCCCAGCCTAACCGAACTATCTCAATCGACTCGCGAACTGACATAAAAAAATATATTTTTTGTTATAGAAATTGAAAAATGCAAGTGAAAATGAAAGTGGAGATCAAAACAAAACCGATGATGTAAAAAATTAGAATTCATGATATGTTAGCGTTTGTTTATATCTTTATATTTGATGTTGGTTAGTGTATGATACTTTTTATGTTGGTATGGTGATGTGAGATAAGATTTTTTGTTAGTTTTTTTCGATTTGGATATGGTTTTATAGATTATTATGTTAAATATTTTATACTATATTGAGTGACTTTAAGTTATTGTAATATAGATTTTAAATTATTAATTTTTATGTAATTTTAAATGATTTTTTGGATAATTAGATAAATATAAGCTGACTTGCGAGCTAACTCATAGCTCGGATAATTTGGTTTAGGTCATAATTTTTCTAACTCATAAAAAATCGGACGGATTGAGCAAAAAATGAGCTGGTTCGAGCCGGTCCGATCTGAACTAGTCTGTTTTACATCACTAGGTGAAGCCACGATGTTAATGCAGGGGTATATATGTAAATACATGGTATTGTAAAGTTTTCTTTTATAGAACACGAACCCTAAGAGAGGAGGCGGGGTTGGGCAAAGTCTGAAACGACGACGTTTTGCTTCCCTTCTTCAAAACGACACTCGTTTTCATGGTTCAATCAACGTTTAACATTTTCTACAAATGTATATATATATATATATATAAATGTATGTATGCATTTAAATCATAAACTGAAGTCTGAACCTGTACTTCTTTACCAAAAAAGTGTCTGAAACTGTATTGAAACAGTAAATGTGGTGTCTCTAGATATGGTTATGGACCTCCACATCTATACATACACACGGTACATATATGTAATGTACGTAAACGTAGTTGCCCATAAAATCGGGCCAAGTATTTTCGTTGTGATACTAAAACGTTAATAGGAATATGGAAAATTAACTACCATAAGCCCATGGGCCCAGTCCAGATAAAGGCCATTCACGTGCCTTGCGTATACATCCGTATACATCTGTATGCATATGCGCATGTATAGATGTATATCGATTAAAGTTTATATTTATACGGTTGAGAGTTATTCAAAAACTATTCTCATTTGTTAACAATTAGCTCTCGTAGCTCAGTTGGTTAGAGCACCCGTTTAGTAAGCGGGAGGTCTTGAGTTCGACTCTCAACGAGAGCATTTTTGTTTCATTTTTGCCCTTTTCATTTTTTCCCCCCCCCACGCCTTGTACCAGTTCTTCGAGGACGCCATCGATTTGCACCATAGGCTCGGTTTCCGACCAGACCCAGATCAGGGAATCTCGGTTTCAGTATAACGATTATTGGAAGATTATCAAAAGCTCGGGCTTGACGACGATGATGCTGTGGTAAAGACGTATTTGCTGCGCATGTATGGTGTAGCAGTATAGCAAGTGTTCGACGAAATGCCTGTGAGAAGACATTGTGGCATGAATCACCGTTGTTTTCTAGCTGTGTCGTTAGGACAAAGGGTTCGAACAGAAATGCTGAATGCCAATGCATGGATTCAAGAACTCTGCAACATACCCTTCGACAGAAGTCTATAGCCATACAGTAATATCCTTCTTGTGCTATACACTGAACATGGGTTCAATTCTTGTGATCTCTTCTCTATGCAGTGTTTTCTCGATCGTAAAGTGATATCTATTCATGTTAAGATAACGGTTGGGGGATGATTAGCTGCAGGGCATCTTCGTCGTCTCGGCCTTCTGGTCGCCATTCCCCAGCCCTTGAAGCTCCTATCTTCAGGTCCTGACTTTTCTACTTGGTGATTCATCAATGACTGCTTCAATAAAGAGCAACTCATGGCTCTGTTAGTGCTACTGACCGGACGTTTTCTTCCGCGGTTAGATCCACACCTGGACGGATTCCGAGGATAACCTGTCGCTTTCTTCAGCCCTCCGAACATCTGAAGATCTTCGGTTACTTCTTGCCTTGTTAGAGAAGTAAGCCCTGGAAGGATATCCCTTTGGAAGTCCCGTTTCGGTCTTCCTCGTCTCGGTTGTCCTCTTCTTGGCCGATTTGGTGTGGTGGCTGTAATGCCCATCTCTTCAAATCTCAGATTCTCAGGTACCAATGGCATTGGCATGTAGTCTTCTTCCTTGGTCTCCATTAAATTCAAGGTCATGGCCTCAAAGTAATCAAACTCTCCAGATGAACATTCTTCACGGCCTCCCTCGCTATGTCTGCCTTCTGACAAAGCAATGATCTTTTTCCCCGAGTCGTCATCGTAAGAAACGATTGTGTCAGCAAACCAAGCGAGTGGGTTTTTCACAGGACAGTTGATTGAAGAGCAAACGGCTTCGTCTGGATCAGACAACGAGATAGCTACTATTGCCTCGGCAGCTGCCTCAAGGAGTTGGAGTTCATCCATAAAATTTCCATCTTTACCTTTCAGCAATCCTCGAGTGTCTCCATTTGTCTTCTCCGCTTCATCCTCACTGTCCAGAACGGCCGGAGCTTCCAAATCTATCCATGGAATTGCTTTCCTTTTCACTATTAAGGCAGAAGGCATGACAGAATCTTCATCCTCACTAGCACATATGTTCAGATCAATGTCATGTCTGAATCTGAAAGCTCTTTTGCCTTCTTCTTCCCTGTCTACTAAGGTAGCAGCTTCAGCATCACCGTGATCTGTGACAGAAACTGAATCATCACATGGAGAGTTGATATTGAGGTCTCTTTTCACCATCTTATCTTCTCCAATGGATCGGCCAATGGTATAGGCGGAAGGGGAGGTAATGAAAGAAGGCTCCTTCTTGACAATACAATACTTCTCAAATACCGGAAATCCGAGAATCTTTCTGCTACGATGGAGGTCGGCCATTTCATCATCTCTTCCAATGCCGGCATTATCAGAACAGGGGATAGATCTCGAACTCTGGTGAGCAGATGCATTAGTAAAACCATCACCCATCTCGGTTTCGTCTGTGAACTGATGATGTATGGTAGCATTCAGATCCAAGCAGCCATTGGTTATTTCACTTCTACAGTGAGGCTTAGGTTTTAGCCAGGACAACCCAGTTGAACACTCCTTGTTGTGCTGTTTTTGTTCTTGGAGGATTTCTGCCGGGATGAGTCCTTGGCAAAGGCCGCTGAAGTCGCGAGGGGAAATCTCGAAACTTGGATTGGCTCTTCCTTTTGGGTTAGAATTCAAGTATGGATTCATTTGAACTGAGCTGCTATTGGGTTTGTCCCGTGACGAAAGCCGATGGGCCCATGATAGCACGAATTCCGGGTGATGGCCATGAGAAATTGGAACACTCGATGCCACGATTGATTCCACATGGCTATCGTAAGAAACTTCCGGATTCCTCAAACGAGCTTCCGAGTCACAAAACGTCCTCTCTCCCGAGAATCTTGCCATGCCATGTTCAGACAGAGGATGGAACGGAGGTTGAAACGTTTTGTCGGAGAAAATCTGCGAGCTTTCTGTCCGGCTGCTTCTGTCATGCCCTGTCCACAAAACACACAGCATCATCAACACAAAACATCATCGTACACACAGCAGAAATCTCACCTGTTTCCAGTTCTAGAACCATCCATCCATTTTGAGTTGTATGTATCTTTCTCCAAGAACTGACCTTGTTCATGTAGTACATTGTTTCTCCCATAAACAGGATACGTATCCTTTGAAGAAGCAACAGGTTCTCCTGGTTCTTGGACATGAACTGGCTCATTCAAGTCAGCAAATCCATTAAATCTCTTCAGACCCATACAAGATCCAGAAGCCACCTCCTGTCTTTCAAGAAACCGCTTTTCCCATGCTTCTTTTCCCGGTTTCGATCGGTTTTCAAGCAGAGGGCACTGCAGATTCTCGTGATCCTCATACCCTTCTGCCGGGAGTTGAAGATCGATCAACTTTCTCCGGATTTTCACGGGTCTAACCCCGTTTTGCATTGCAACATCACGAGCAGGAGACAGCCCGTCGCATTCCAGGTTTCCCGAGGGAAAGAGCGCCATCCGCTGGTGAGTACTTCCATTTCCGGGATTTTCAGCCAACTTCTTCTGCATAAGTCTCTCCATCAAGATCTTTTGCACGCTGTATAGACGGTGAAGCTCGGATAACTGCATCGATACGAACGGGCGAAAGGTTCCATCGAACTGTAAAGACGGATCAAACGAATGCCATTCGAGACGTATAGATGGATAGATAGATAGAATCTATACCTGGTTCTTGAAAACGGCATCCTGGTCAAGAATCATTCGTCTCACGAGATCTCTTCTCCCGCTCGGCGATGAAGAACCGAACTGATGAAAATGCGAGTTTATGTCTCGACGGTATATCACCGACCAGCCGCAACTGTCGGAATCTTCAGTGGGATCCCTCATCGAGTAATGCATCTTTCAATAGCTTTTTTCACAGTTTAACCTCTGCCCCCATTGCCAAAAAAAAAAAAACATAAGTTAAAGCTCAAGACATAAACAGAAGAATACAGAAATGAAACAACAAATCACTGTCACAAAAAAAAAAACATTCACAAGCTGATATTATCAGACAAACAACAAAAAAGAAGCCAAAGAAACAGATTCTGAGATTATCTGGAAAAAAAAAACCCAACACGATTAAGGTTGTTCTGTAGCAACAAACAAGGTTGAATTCTGCAGGGGAATAAAAACCCTAATTCAGTTTAAATTTCCAGATAAATAATTAAGAAAAATGATTAACAGCAAAAAATGGAATTCCCCAACAGATGGGAGTGCAATACAGACATGATTGTGGAACACAGAATCCGCCATTACAGGAGAGCTTAAATCTAACGAAAACCTCCGTGGAACTGAAGATATTATTTATCCAACTAATTTATAATTATAAATAATTTATAAAAAAACAGTTTTTTTTAAAACCTCAGATCCACATCCTAAAATCGCTCTTTGAACTGGAAGAAATCCTTCACATGGTGATGGATAATTGGGGAAACTCACCCCCAAATCGGAGACAAAACTACAGGAAAAAAAACCCAAATATTTATATATATAAAAAAACAGAATATCAAAGAAAAAAGAAATTAGAAGAGGGGAGATTATACAGGGAGGGGAGAAAAGCAAGTGGGTAAGAATCAAATCTCCATGGAAGAAGAAGAAGAAGAAGAAGAAGAAGAAGAAAAAAGCTCAGATCGTCGTCTTCGATCCGCTGGCCCAACTCTCTCTCTCTCTCTCTCTAACGAAGAAAACAAATAAAAAAACAAGCTTTTATACTCTTTATTTCGGATTTGCTGTTGAGAGAGAGAGAGATGTTTGGTAGAGAGGGAAGGAGAGAGATCCCAGAAAGAAAAAAGAAATTTACGTAAAAAAATGGAACAGTGACATGAAATTTGTCGACATCTGGTCTCCTTTTTATCTCTCTCTCTCTCTCTCTTCATTTTTTTTACAAATTCTTTTCTTTTTTTCTACGAAAAATTAATATTCATTAATCCCAAACAAATCAGAAATACAAGAGATCTAATTATACATGTAAGTTTGATCTTTGTTTAAAATGTGATTTGTCGGATTTGAAATTAAACCTTAATGGGTTCTAGAGAGAGAGAGAGAGAGAGAAAGGATATAATTGAAGTCTTCTTGTCTTTTTTGTTAAATTTGTGATTAAAAAGTACATAGTATCAATCAACTAAATATAACATTCATTTCTATTTATTTATTTATGTATATATTTTACTGACAAATTCTACAGTTTCAGATTTAATAATATTCAGTTGGAAATAAGACATCAATGTCATGTTAGTTGTTAAAATTGTGATATGGTGTAAATTGATTTTTAAGCACTTTCCCTTTATAACCCCACTTTATTTGAATTGCATTTATTCAAATAAAACAATTGACTCACACACATTGATAAATTACGTAAAAAGGTATTTCTAAATTCAACCCTTTTAAATATTTATTAGAGTAAACGAAAATATATATATATATAATAATGATTCGGATAAAAGAATGATTAAAAATGACATGTTAAAACCTAAGCAAGCTGTTCGGACCAAATCTTTGCCATAACTTAACCAGTTTGATAAAAAAAAATAATTGTTAAACAAAAAAAACAATAAAATAATTACCAAAATAAAGGATTTAATATTGGACAGTGGGGCCTAGCGAATTATTAAATGCCCCTGGTTTTGTAGATAATTACCAATTTGGGATTTTATTCTTAGATACTTGGTTCCTGCGTATCACTCTCATTGGTCGATCTTTGATCCTCTCTGTCTCTCTGATTTAGGCCAAAGGCCCAAAACATTCTTTGAAACGAAAAAGGACTGATATTTCGGAATTATTACATTAACTGCCACTACATTTATTCCGAAACTGACACGTGGCATTTATAAATATTAAATTTCGTGCATGTAATGATGGACCGATACAAGACAATTTGGAATGTTTATAATGATCTAAATCTGCGTATCCAATTTCTGCATCTCTCACTCGCCCTAGGTGCCGCCGAAACATTTATAATATTTGTTTTTCCTCATTATAATATTCACGTGCAACACCTTGATACACACACACACACACATATATATATATATATATATATATATATATGAGTAATAAATTTTAGAAATGGTATGTAAATCAAATTTCCAATTTTAATACATTTTCTAAACATATAAATCTCGTCAATTTACCAAAAAAAAAAAACTATGGTGTGCAATTTTCATATTAGCAAATCTGAATTCGTAGACAAAGACAGCATGATAAATTTATATATCATTCAGTTGTTGAGGACATAACTGATATGATCCAAAAAAATAATATTAAAATGAAACTTTGTATTAGATCTTTTCTTACGTTAAAACCCGAAATTACTGTCAAATTAAAAAAACCTAATGGACGCTTACACAAAATCTCTCGTAGGCCCAAATAAAGCCCATAAGGCCATAATACAGTCAGGCTTTTAGGCCCAATATGATTTTCTTAAAATAGAAAACGAACGAAGTTACGGAGATACGATAAGAAAAATATAATTTAAGAAGTTGTAATTTGGTGTAATATTAATTCATGAATTGTTGTGTTAAAAAATACAAGCTCGGAAATAAATAGACGTATCTATGAGTTCAGAAATTAATATTACATCAACTAAGATTAATGTATGGGTGATAAAACAAGTGGAATTACGTTTTAAGCTGTGTATCTTTTGGGTTTAATTTCCTTTTTTTCATGTAGAATCACGTTATGTCTCTTGAAAGCTAAGACGAATATTTGAATTTTTATTTTCCTAATTAAAATACCAACATTCTCGGATTTTTTTTAATTTCCTTATTAATTTAATTTTAAATGTTTTTTTTCTAAATAGTAAAACAATACTATAACGAAAATCGATGGATGGTGAACCGGGTCGTGAATCTGACTCGTCATACTTTGGTAAGAAATAATCACTGTAGTGTTGGTCTTGAACGTTGCTTCGCCTTTTTTTGCCTTTTAGGCGCCGATCTTTCTCCGTTTTTTTTTCTGAGATTCAAGCTTTGAGCGTCGTCATCAATGGAGGCTATACTGCTCGACCCGGCATTTCTCTCTGTACCGAAGCCCTCGGAATCTTCCAGACCCATCTCGTGTTTCGCCGTCAGAACATCTCTCCGGGCCAGTATATTGAGGTTCGGACCAGCTGGGTATCGTCCCCTTCGAGTCTCCGCATCTTCGCCGATCAGGTACCTTCGTGTCTTGTCTTGTTTCTCTGTGGAAATGGTGCGTGGGTTTTCGCGCGCCATGTGTTCGATTCATTTCCCCCCTTTTATGTTTTCTCCGTTGCTAGTTTAAAGCCACCGGCTTTTTGAGTTTTGATCTTATGCTGAATCCTGTCCTTTCCTAATTCATCTTACCGATGATTTGACTGTTGTTCTGTCTGATTCTGGACATGGGATTTGTGGTCCTAGCTCGAGCTGTACTGATAAAATCTCTGTAGCTTTAATGTATCGGGAGATTTGATCCGTAGAGAAATTGTAGTTATCCACTACTTTGGGTTAATCAATCATCAAAGAAGGTTTCTCCTTTTAGCTTTTTTAGCTACTGGAGATGAAACCTCTTTTATCAAGAGCTTATGAGATGTTGAACAGTACCATTGTCGTTTGTCTATAAATCAGGCAGAGCTTTGCATCCTTATCTGAGAAATTAGTGTTTCTCTTTGCTGAATCTTAGGAGGTTGTCGAGTTGAGCGGTTTTGATGCGTTCGCATATGTGCCTGAAAATTGACAATGTTGGTTTGGTTGCAAGTGTTGTCTGAATTCAAGTACAAACTCTCTACGAGTGAAGCATACGACCTGTAAACAACTTGAATCATGGTGTTTTAAGCTTAAGTTGATGGCTAGTGGATAATCTTAAATATGCTTTCATCTTTGATTGATTCTTGCCCGTTTCCTTTTTCGATGTCTTACATGGATGTCTTTGATTATTTCTCTCAGATACTCGAGGAGACAACGGATAGATGAGAGTGAGAGCTTGACACTTGACAGCATAAGGCATTCTTTAATCCGTCAAGAGGACAGCATCATCTTTAATCTCTTGGAGAGAGCTCAATATTGCTACAATGCTGACACATATGACGAAGAAGCATTTGCAATGGAGGGGTTTCGTGGATCTTTGGTCGAGTTTATGGTCAGAGAAACTGAAAACCTTCATGCAAAGGTTGATCTCAACTCAGTAGAAATATGATCCGTGGACGATTCATTCGTAGTTTCACAATTATGACCTCCTCGATTGATGTTTTTTTCTTGCTCTTAAATCAGGTGGGCAGATACAAGAGCCCCGATGAACATCCCTTTTTCCCGGATTGCTTGCCAGAGCCAATGCTTCCACCATTGCAATACCCACAGGTGATTTTATGGTCCTTCAGTTGCCAATGACCAGTGCCCAAACTTACAAAGATTCTTAACTGCACAATCTGTCAAATTACTTGTTCGTGGTTCTGAATCCAAAATGTCATTAGCTTTGCCTAAGTGGCCATCGGTATACATGATATCATATTTACCCAAATTCGATCTTTTGTTTTGCATGAGGCCAGGTTTTACATCACTGTGCCGATTTGATCAACCTAAACAACAAGGTATGGAACATGTATTTCAGAGACCTTCTTCCCAGACTGGTCAAGCTTGGAGACGATGGCAACTGTGGTTCAGCTGCTGTCTGTGACACAATGTGTTTGCAGGCAAGTGAAAGCTATCACTACTTGTTCATGTTGCTCCCTGACAAAAATAACAACTTGAAAATGATTTCGCTTCAAGATCTCTCTTTTTCGCTTTTTTTTTACTTCTCTATTGGAATTGTATATTCGGGTCTTGGATATCGGCTAAACTAATCATAGAAGAACCCAGATTCCAAATTGAACAAATTCAAACTCGATGTGAATAAGAGACCTTGAACTGGAAGTCTTCTCTCCGTTCTGGTTTTGCAGATACTCTCCAAGAGGATTCACTATGGTAAATTTGTAGCAGAGGCCAAGTTTCGTGAATCACCGGATGTATATGAGAAAGCCATCATAGCACATGTACCTGCTCTCAACTTCACATGTTTCCAACAATTTCATGATATTTCATTGGCCTTTTACCACACTTTCTCTTGATTTCACCACCCAGTTTTCACTATTACTTACCCTTTTCTGAGTTTTGCAGGATAGGACACAACTGATGCGACTTCTAACGTATGAGACAGTGGAAGAAATAATCAAGAAGAGGGTTGAGACGAAAGCCAGAGTTTTCGGACAAGAAGTGAAGATCAGTGAGGAGGAAGCTGGAGCTGACCCTTCTTACAAGATCAAGCCGAGCTTAGTGGCCAAACTGTACGGAGATTGGATCATGCCCCTCACAAAGGAAGTTCAGGTTGAGTACTTGCTTAGAAGGCTGGATTAATCCAAGCAATTAAAAAAAAAATGCTTTAGATTGATATAATATTCTTTATGATGATGTAACAAAAATCGGTTCTGGTGTTACATTGAAACCCCGGTCGATTCCCGGATGATTTCATAAATTGAAATAATGTTTTCTAATGTCAGTAGGAAGATGATGCACCATTCCAAAAGATCTGATCTTCTGTTCTGCATCACCTCTTGGAGGAAATGAATGTTGTGCTGCATTATCACATGGGACATGATATAATCAGATATATATATATATATATATAATATCAGATGGGAATTAATTGTAAAATTATTACAATGTATCATTATCAGTGTTACCTCCACAAATTTTAATTTGAAGTCCAGATTCCCAAAACGCTGAGTGACCTCATACTCTTCTCTTAGGTACTCATATATCTGAGCATATTTTGCCTCTCTCCAAGCAATCTCAGATCTAAGAAAAGATGATGACTTCTTTAGTAATATGTGTACTTTCCCCCAATTCAGGATTCAAGAACTTGGTTTTACATTCATAAGAAACCCGAAAAAGAAAGATGGAATACCTTTCGAAAAGACCAACTTTGAGAATCACATCGGCTAGATTGGAGTTGGCCTTCCCGACGAGTTGGAGGAGCTTTTTCCTGTCCATTGTGAAAGTGCCCGTCTTCTCCATCGCGCGGTTTATACCCGCAAACTCTTCCACCAAACCGTCGACCTGAGAAACCAAGCAGGAAATCTCAGAATTCAAGCCCTAAACTAAACCAGTTCCTAACAATCCCAGCATTATCCATTGATTGGTCGAGGAGATCGAAAATGAATTCTTAACCTGTGAAACAAAGTAATCCAATGCAATGCTTTGCCCGAGCACACTCCCGATTATACGGACACTGTCGGTATCTAATGCTTTGAGAATGATACAGTCGGGGCCACCTTTCATTTCCCCGACCAACGTAGGCTTCTCCTTCACAGCATAATCTACCACAGGAGAGAAATCCAAGAAAGGCAAGCTCATTGAAAAAGGCAAATCTTTTTTCGAAGATGTAATTAGCAATGGAAACAGTTACAGGACAGGACACTGACCATCTCTTTTCATCTCCGGAAGCAGACCAGAAGCATGTCTCCGAACAATGTCGAGATAAGGTTCTACTTCATGTTCTTCAATGTTGAAAAGAACAGCAGATCCGTATTGAAAGACAACCATGAATCGGCAGTTGCCCATATTCTCCCTCGATCCAAGAGTCTATAAACACAAGTGAACATAACATAAAAGATCAAACTTTCTTACAGGTTTTGAAACTGAACACAAGACAGCAGTTGTCGAATAATCTTACAGGGATTTGGGAAGGAAAATCGAAAAACTTGAGGGCAATAGAGTTCGTAGATCGTGAAGTAGGAGGAACAAAAGTGCCGAGGTTGTCGGCTTGAATTCCCTTCAAATCGATACTGCCAAACAAAACCATGAATCGGCTAAACTTTAAACATCGGGATTCAAAAAAATCAAAACTTTGATGCTTAAACCCAGATCTCCGTTACGATTCAATCGGTGAACGAACCTGGTACTGAGGAAATAGGCTTTGACAGGGATTTTCCCGGCTTGTTCTTCTTCGTTTTCTCCGAATTCATAGCCCTGGTATAAATCGCTCGACCCGGAATCAGAATCATTGTTGTAAATCGAAATCTGAGAAGGGAACGCCGAAAAGGGCCTGAAATTCGGCGAACGAGAATCTGGGTTTCGATGGAAACTACTCGCCCAGAGTTGCCCTACGCGTGAACAAGGGTGAATCGATTCAAGAGTCTTAGAAGAGTTGACTATTCGATTGACGAGAAGAAGAGCAGAAGCTGCTCTCCATCCACCCATTAACAGTGATGAAAATAGTGTTTCTCTGAAGAAGACGAGGATTTGAATCAGTCTCCTCCGGCTTCCTCCACTTCTTCTCTGAATCAATCCATCTCACAGAAAATAATGGTTTTCAGAGAATTTCGCTGATTCCTCAGAGAACGTTGGTAGGGGAAGATGCGTCGGATTTCGCCGGCGACCACGAGAGTTCGTTTTCGCTATAGGACCCCTAAATGTTTTGTTCATTGAATACAACCCAATACGACATCGTTTTGAATTGAACACCTAAACGACATCGTTCAAACTGTCTATCGGGTTGGTCGTTCTTGTAAGTCGTATCCCACTTCTTTGAGCAGGGACGAAGATTCTCTCTCTCTCTCTCTCAAACCCTTGGAAATGACGATGTCTGGGAATCTGAGGATATCTGCGAGCCTGGCTTCTCCTTATCATCAACATCCGAATCGCATCTCATTACCTTCTTCTCCGAAGGTCTGGTTTCTTCTCTTTCTTACTCCTCCGGGGAAGTTACGACGATTCTCCGTATTTTGAGATTTGGGTTTTGTTTAATTCGCGACTTGGTACCTCAAATTCGGTGCTTTTTCATCGGATAAAAACACGAAACCTAGTATTAATCTCCTGTTATTTTGAGGAATTGTCGAGTTTTCTGGTCTGTAGCTGTTCCGGAAACTCCAAATTTGCTCTGGATTCGTTGCTTCATTGTATGGGTTTAGAGCATCACGTAGTTGACTAACTGTTCTTGGTATTGTCTTTCCCGTCTGGTGATTGTTGAGGGTTTTTGAACGGTGTTGCCCCTGTTCGGTTTCGATGTTCCAATTTGGAAGCATGGTTGACCTAATTATGTCTTTCAGTGAGATTGTCTTCTCCAAATTCCAATGTGGTATTCGTTTGAGATTGTCTCTGTGTTCGTCTCTTCTATATCAGCCGTAGATTCTTTTAGATGGTGAATTCGCTCTTAGCCTTTTCCTCTTCAGTAGGTTGAGTTGATTGAATGCCAAATGATGAACACAGAAAACCGAATTTAGGACCGATGATGGTTTGATACATGGGATTAAGGGCACTTGATTAGCTCTCAGATTCTGTGAATCTCTCTGAAAACCCTTGTTCTTTGGTCTGGAATTGGAAGATGGACTGATGTTAAAGTTTCTTGCTTTGAGCTGTAGTCTGAGAAATTATCATGTGGAGGAACTAGAGTCTCCTTTGGTAAAGCTCTGATCTTTATCTCTCTCTTCCGGGTTTTATTGATGCGACTCGCAGGTCGATTTCACGGGATTCACGAACAACAGGACGGACCCTCTGGAAAATGCCCGATCTCAGATGAAGCTCTTTGCCAGAAACCGAGGAGATTACGACTTTTCGTCGAACTCAGCCGCCACCCCAGAGATCGAAAACTTTCTTGTGAATGCCATCAACATGAGTTTCTTGGACAGATTGAATCTGGCGTGGAAGATAATCTTCCCGTCCCAAGCGACGAGAAGAAGCTCCAACGCAAGAATCGCCAAGCAACGCCTCAGGATGATCCTGTTCTCGGACAGGTGCGCGGTTAGCGACGAGGCCAAGAGGAAGATAGTCAACAACATCGTCCATGCCCTGTCAGATTTCGTGGAAATAGAATCGGAGGAGAAAGTTCAGCTGAATGTGTCGACGGATACCGATCTCGGGACCATTTACTCAGTGACAGTGCCCGTCAGGAGGGTGAAACCCGAGTATCAGGACTCGGACGAGGCTGGAACCATCACGAACGTGGAATACAAAGATACAGTCGATGGTTCTGTGGATGTCAGGTTCGATTTCTACATTCCAGACTGAGATTACTTCATAGCTTTTGGCCTTTCCTTTCAAAATTATCAGCTTTGGATTTGTTCTTCAGCTTCTTTTTAGTTTTTTTTTTCAAGTTCAGATCTTGAGTCGACAAGACAGATCTTAACACTCTCTGTATGTATATATGGAACTTGTCTTCTAACTTGTGTCGCTTCTTAGCCTGTGTTAGTAATATAAAAACGCACCGTTTCACACACACACATTTAGGGGTGGCCTAGGTCGGGTACCCGACTTCGATGGGTTATACATTTTAAAACCCGAATCCGAGTTTTCGAGTATTCGAATTATATTACATGCAAGACAATTCTTGGATATCCGTAAGTATCCGGAAACGATGAGTTTTAAACTCCCTATACCCCGTCGAATATTTAAACTCCCTGGAATTCCCTGGATTACCGAGTTATCGACTACATCTAAAAGTTGGAGCCCCCGTGATGATGCTAAGAAACATCAATCAAAAGGAAGGATTGTGCAATGGGACAAGACTAATAATAACTCAGTTGGAAAAAAGAGTTTTGGAGGCAGAAATAATGATTGGGCCAAACAGTGGAAATAAGGTACTTATCCCAAGAATTATTCTCTCGCCAACAGATTCAAAACATCTGTTCACACTGCGAAGAAGACAGTTTCCAATAAGACTTTGCTACGCAATGACAATAAATAAAAGCCAAGGACAAAGTTTGAAACAAGTAGTCTTATACCTCCCACGTCCAGTCTTCAGCCATGGTCAGCTATATGTCGCACTCTCCCGGGTTACTTCTGCAAAAGGATTAAAAATCCTAGATGATACGGAATACTCTGATGACAAATATGCCATCACCAACATTGTTTACCCTGAAATTTTCAACGGCTTACCAACACCATGAGGTTAGATTTAAATAAGAAGAAACTTAATACCCATCATTTTCGCACATATGTAAACAAGTACACGATAAAGTAAAATTGTGAATATGAAAGGCACCATATAGATAACTGAAAAAAAACTGGTAATGTTCTGTTCATACATCAATTAAAGTTTATCATATCGTTATTCTCACACTAATAATAATCTTTATATTTTAACAGGATCATGCCATCGCAAATTATGTGTAAGTATATTTCTACTACGTTCAAACCGATGTTTTTTCCTCATTAAAGTAATGATCACATAGTCTATATTATACATAATGTTATTATTGATTAGAATAATCCCATTGTAGGAATGTACAAATCAACTCCAATCAGTGATATCAACCCATGCAAGTTTGGAAAACTCAAGACATCACAATTATGGATGTATCATGGTCAGATTTTTAAGGACGTGGGATGAAAGGAATCCTTTCAATGGAAATGAATATCGTGGCATCGGCTTCTTATTAATTGACAAAAATGTACGTTTTCCTTACCTTTTTAAAAAAACATTATTATTATCGGTAATGTGATCTTCTCCAATAACAACATTGCAGGAGGATGTTGTTGAAGGAAAAATATTTCACGACCAGACAGACCAATTTAAACATATCATAAATGAGGAAGATATATTTGTTATCAGCCATTTCAAGCTTATACACAATAACAACAGATACAAGTTAACGGAACATAAATTCCGTATTTATTTTACGGAATATACTATTGTTAAAATGGTTGATCCCACCTCATGTGATATTATCAAAGAGAAATTCCAGATACGTTTATACACTGATTTGGTGGCATTGGCAAACAAAACGCAATATTTGCCAGGTACGTGTTATCATATAACGAACACACCATGAAAATAACTCAAAGGGTTTATAATCAAGCTATTCTCTCATGTTGCAGATATCATTGGAGTTTTGGTTGCAATTCAAGGACCAAACTTACAGATGCCATCGTCAACGCAAAAAATAATCCTCCGGTTATTATTGAAAGAGTAAGTTTCCAACATTTATTTCAAGTGCATGATAAATTGTCTTATAAATTGACTATAATTAGTTTGACATATACAACACAGCAATAACATTGTCAAGCTTTTCATATGGGATGAGCTCGCTGCACAACTACGGTCACAAATGCACAGATTGAGTATTCGAAAAAGTGTCATCGTCATTACTGGTGTAAACCCAAAGATTATCGACGGTAATTATTAAACGCTCACACAATCATAAATACTTACAGTCTAATATTTAAGTACCAAGATCATTTTTATATTAAGCTTACTAATACATTCTATATCTCAGGTATTGTAACGCTCAGCACATCAATGTCCACCAAAATTTACATGGATGAGAACCTCAACGTCATCAAAAATTTCCGCCTAAGGTAAATACACTATATCATTATTGATACAAACTATATGAATCATATTTAATGAATGATTTAATTTATTGCCTACCCACAATTTTTTCAACCGCAGCAAGCGAAGAAAAACAATGGTACCGCACACCGTCCCAACATATCATCCCCATTGAACTTATGCCTCATCTACGAAGCGATATCAATATTATATCATTGATTTAATTATGTTTTAAAACATAGCGATTTAATATTATAAGATCGAAACATCAATACTTTTTTAGTTATGATATGTTCTTTTTTTTATATCTGCCAGTTTAAATGAGTTTTATTGTGTTAGTACCTTTGCACCTGGTCTGAAAAACATATATTTTAAATGTATAATCTCAACACAAGATATATAAATAATACCCATAAGGTTATATGTATATAGCTACGTACAAAAACAAGAGTGCATATTAATGAAAGCCAACAATATAAGATGATATTAGTTTATGATATACAAAAAAAACATTTAAATTTATAAATCTAACTCAAACAAATTATTATAATATCATTTCTTTACTCAAAATATATAAATAATTTAAGTATATATATAAATAATAAACCGCGCATCGCGCGGGCCTTATCTAGTAATTTATAAAATTATTGAAAAATATTTATATCTAAAATAATTAGATTATAAAATGATAGTTTTTATATAGATAAAAACAAAAACAATTAGATAATTCATAGATACCTTTGTAATTTTTTAATTATTCAAATATATTTTAATAATTCAAATATATATAATAGTTATTTTTTACTATTTGGTACTGGAAATATCAATCCAAATCTGAATTCAAATTTCGAGTTTTAAACATTTTAAATCTCTATCTTCTCATTGCAAAACAGATATTCGACCGTCGATCATGATAAATATCCGATTTTTAGATATTTTGTTTATCATTGCATACATTTTCTCTATGAATCTTTTGATTAGTAGTGCATATTTTGGATTTTGGGTCGATATTTATCATGTTAAGTTTAAAAATAATTTATTTGATTTTATAAAAATTATATCAAATTAGAACCGAATATTAATCGATTTGGTTCGTTTTATTGTTGATTTTTTTGGGGGGATTTTGTTATATGAATATGGAATAAAAATTGAAATGTGATATTAATACACGTAAAGGTGGATATAATTTAGTTTTGGTTCCATATTTATCTAATTTGATTCTGTTTAGATACAATACCCTCTCCTCGGTTTTTCTAGAATTTGCGGAAATTATTGGATTTGAAGGAAATAGCCCAACAATTCTTTGGAATTAGGTTTATCAATGGTGAACACACTCTTTTCTGGCATGAACCATGGACGTCATTAGGGGCACTGATAAAATACATCGGTGAAACGAGGCCGAAAAATTTCCGTATTCCGAGCCTATCCATGGTCAGAAGAAGTGCAGATAGTTAACAAGTCTTCCTCACCCTTCTCTCCACCATCCCACCGCCGGCACCCACTGCAGACTATGATCAGCTTCTATGGAAATATCAAAATGATGACCACAAGCCAACCTTCCACACGATCAGAACATGGCATCAAATCCGCCAGTACGGCGACGAGGTTACCTGGTACCCCACTGGTTGGTTCCCTAAAGGCATACCTAGATATGCTTTTTTGATGTGGCAGGTGATGCTGTCCAGATTACCGACCAAAGACCGACTTCATCGGTGGAGAGTGACCTCGAAGATAACGTGTATGCTATGCGATGAGTCAGAGGAGACACACCTTCATTTGTTCTTCTTTGAATGCATGTATAGCGAACACGTATGATGACACTTTGCAGCCCTATGCAGTCAGGACCAATGCACGGATTGGGCGAGCAGTGCAATGCGAATGGATAGAAGGGACACGAAAAGAATCCGACAGATCCTCCTCCAAACTACGGTGTACGAGTTTTGGAGAGAGCAGAACAACAGGATTTTTCGAGCCAAACGGCGAACGGTAGAGTACACAAGGTGGAAGATCGATCGAACCGTTCGGAATGTACTACTATCTATCAAACGGAAGCCTCCGAACGATAAAATATCTTTGCTTGTAGATCGGTACTATTTGATGTGACAAGTTAGAAGTGAGTTCGGGTTATTTTATTTTGAAAAAGTTTTACATTTTCATATGGGTTTCACTATCTTTTGTAAAAAAAAAACAGGATTGTAATTCTTTTAGTACATAATACGCATCAACTTATAACCAATATTTTTTTTATTAGATCTTATAAAAATTATTTCGATTAAAAAAACTAAATATTATTCGATTTTGACTCCAAATTAAATTGTCGAATCCAACCGTCCACCCCAGCTTTAGAGAAAAGGAACGGACAAAAATAAAAGCAAATTAAACGCCGCACGTGTGGGACCGCGTGGTCTGCACGCAATATATCCCTTAAGGACATTCCAAGCGAATCTTGACCGTCGAAATATTCCGGTCCAACGGCCGAGATGAATTATTCGCGAGTCCGAGTGTAATTGACATTACCAGCCCCGGAGGGTCTCCTCCCTTCTATAAAAATCCGACCGCTTTCGTTTGCTTGAGAATTCTCTCTCTCCGTCTTGCCATTAAGAGAATTGAGGCCTGGTGAAATCTTCTTTTCTCCGTAGATTTCGATCGTTGTCTTCTCCATTACCGGAGATCTCTCTGAATTCTGTCGGTCATGTCGGACGAGGAGCACCACTTCGAGTCCAAAGCTGATGCCGGAGCTTCCAAAACCTACCCTCAGCAGGCTGGAACCATCCGCAAGAACGGCTATATCGTCATTAAGAATCGTCCCTGCAAGGTTCGTCCCCTAATCCCTTGATTTTTTCTAACCCTAGATTTTGATTTCTCCATGAATCTATGTGTTTTTTGTTTCTGTTTGTGTTGATTCACGCTCTGATCCCGATTTTTCTGGTTCTCGATTTTCGAATTTGCATGTGCCGGTGATTGTTTCTGGTTTCTGGAACTTTTTTATTTGAATTTGTACGATACAGTGTTCGATCTCCCGATCGATGGGATTTTGTTGCTTATCTGTCTGTTTCATGAATCGGATCTCTCTCTCTCTCTCGGGTGTGCGAGCTTCTCCTCTGTGTGTTCATCGATTCTGCTACTGTAATTCTGGGAAAAAAAAATATAGGTTGTCGATTATGGTCTTGACGTTGATGGCACGGGTAGATTCGATTGGGCTTCAGGTGATAAAAATGTTCCGGCTAGATCGAGTAATACTGAACTAAGAACTCACATGATTAGCGTGAATATGCGGTATTGTCCTTGCGAACCGATTACAGTATTTGGCTTGATTGAATTTTGGTAGGGATTGTGAACTGATTTGCTAGTGATGACAAAGTTTTTTGTTTTTGTTTTTTGTCTGAATCTCGGTTTATGTCCTTTAAATCTGTAGGTTGTGGAAGTTTCAACTTCAAAGACGGGGAAGCACGGCCATGCCAAATGCCACTTTGTCGGGATAGACATATTCACTGGCAAGAAGCTCGAGGATATTGTCCCCTCTTCTCACAATAGTGATGTTCGTCCTCTTTTATATCCCGAATCTTATCTGAAGGATTGAAGAAAAGTTTCTAATGTTCTTTGTAGTGTGATCAAATTTTTAAATTGTGTTCTGAATTCTGATTCAGCCTATTGCTTTTTCCAGGTTCCCCATGTTAACCGTACTGATTACCAGCTCATTGATATCTCCGAGGATGGCTTTGTATGATCAATCAAAACTCTCAATTGTTGTTCATACTCTTTTCTCTGTAATCCCCGACTGGAAAAACTTACAAATTTTTGTTGTGTTGATATCAGGTTAGTCTTCTGACTGATAGCGGAGACACTAAGGATGATCTCAGGCTTCCAACCGATGAGAGTCTGCTCAAACAGGTGTGTGTGCTTTTGTCTCCTTGTCTTACTTCTTGAATCCGCTTGTCACCATATCAGAAGCTAAGAATCTTTGATCATAAAACAAGGGCCATTGTCTTCTTCTTCCTGTGGAATGGGAATCTGTCACTAGATAGTGGATGGGTTTCTCGTGTGATCTATATTTATGGATTAGTGCCCTACCCTTAATGTAGATTTGTGGCTGGTTTCTAGTGTGGTCTCTATTGGTGGATTGGTGCTCTCTACCCTTCTGATTTCCTGACTATAAAATCTTACACTACAGTAGTGATCTTAGTTGGGGTGAAACTGAAATACCCATTTGGATGAATGGATTGTCAGATCAAAGACGGATTCGAGGAGGGGAAGGATCTGATCGTGTCGGTGATGTCAGCAATGGGGGAGGAGCAGATCTGCGGTCTGAAAGACATTGGTCCCAAGGCTTAGGGCTTTTCTCCCACTTTGGGATCCCCCTCTTACAAGATAGTATCAGTTTGACAAAATATGACGGGGAAGATCAACCAAAACTTGATATAATCAATGCGTGTTTCGTCGGTTTTTCGGGTTTTGTGGACAAGTCATAATATGTTAAAACAGGTTCGAACTTTCTATGCCATTCTTATGTTTGCTTTGGTTTTTGGAGTTTGAATGTCTGAAACAAGCGTTCGAATCGAATTTCGAGCAGGTAACACAAACAACTCTAAGATGACCGACCTCTCTTTGGTTGATTTGGTCGTGATGATGATGGATGGGTTTTGCCGTATTATTGGCACATTGCAATGAGCCCAATGGGCTCGTATATGGGCCCATGCCCTATATCCAATCTAATAATCTTTTTTTTTCCTTTTTCTTTCACGGTATTGCTTTTTTTTTTAAAAAAAGATTTTCTCTACCAATTTCTGAATTAAATTAAAATTCCATAAAAAATACAAAATTGACATAAATTTGCGTAGAAATGACCGCCTAATCGAATTGCGAAAATATATGAAAACAAATAAATGATTACATAGGGGGGAGAATCACATCACATGTGTAAAAGTGTTGCCAATAAATATATGAAGAAAGAGCAATATGCCACTTTTATTCTTTGACCATCGAGTGCCATTGCCCCCACGCCTTATATTATATCATCCATTCACCCATTGACCCATTTTTTTTTTGCTTCACGGATCATTTAACATGTAATTAAATTAATTAATTTATTCCTATTACCCTTTTGGGAACAACTTTACACCCAAGTAAAATATAATTAGAATTTGGATATTTTAAGTAACGTATTATGTATATTCTGTCTTGATTTTGGGAAAGTCACGGGCATGGTAATAGGCACGTGCCTAACAAAAACCCCAAACAAAAGAGAACAAGTTCGCCGGTCCCTTCTGTTCTGTCCCGTTTGACCATTTTGCCATATTCTATACGTATGTGGGTTACTATTTATGCATTTAGGTGTTAGAAGTAGCTTATAATATTTACTTTTTTTTAATAAAAAAAAATAATATTCGGTTAATTGTTTGAAATGCTTGGTTTGATATTTTTGTATCTCTGATGGTTATTTAAAATATTGTTGGTAACTTGAAAACTTTAAAAAAAACAAAAACAGAAAACTTTATGGGGGAATAAAAAACATTCAATGTGATATGAGAAAATTTATCGCATAGAAAGATAAATATTCATATTCACCTTTGACAATAGCAACAGCTTTGAATTGGCAAATCCCCTTTTACCCCTCTTTTTGTGGGGATCCATACACGCATATATGTATATATGTATGTGCACGTATATGTGTGAATGTATTTGTCTGAGATGTAAGTCCATGGTCCTTTTTGTTCTTGCCTTACATTGAAAGCAATGCTACATTTTATTAGAAAGAAAAAAAAAGGAGACATTTAATTAAAAGTTGACATGTGGAAAATCTGGCATTTGGGTTTTGTTGCTGCATCGTTAGACCACCTAATCACCATTCCAATTTAGTCTCTAATGAGGTTTTGTGTTGATATAAATTGTGCCACTAACAATGTGATCCCATGTATAATATATGGTATTATATATATATTATTTGTCCAATGGATCAGAATATATTTATTCACAATAAATTACATAACTTTTGTTTTTTTTTCTCTTACCACTTCCTTATGTGGTTTCAATACATTCTAAACGTAGAGAGATTGACAAGTGACCAAATGGGAATATGATGAAATATGAAAAAACTCAAAAGGTGAAAAAGAACAAAGAAATGGTTTTTATCACCAAAAAAAAAAGAAATGGCAATTAAAATTTTAAAGAATCCTTGGTAGGGAGAGAGAGAGAGAGAGAGAGAGAGAGAGAGAGGGAGAGTTGGTGATGGCAATTTAACAAAGGAGGAAGCAAACAAAGCGTTACTGGATTTGCCAGCAACTGGACTGTGACGCATGATTTGGCCTGAGTAAAAAAAAAAAGTTCACTGCTTTGCCTTTGCTAATTATAATAACCTCTCGCTCTCTCATCCATGGTGGATTCTTAGATCTGTTCACCAATGCAAAAAAAGCTTTGCCCAGAAGAAACAAAGAGAAACCCCAAAACCCAGAATTGGTTTTTCCTTTTGTTTTTCTCAGTTTTCATCTTTGGTGTTATTAATCTCTTTCCCGAGTGGTCAAATGTCTTCCTCTTCACTCTTCTGCTGCTGAGTCCGTGAGAGTAAATGTTGGATTTCTGGGGAATATGAGGGAAAAGGCGGAACCTTTCTTCATTTCTTGACTTGGGTTTCTTCCATTCTTCTTCTACGTTTTAGGATTTTTACCAGAAAATGAGGAAACATGGATGGCAGCTTCCTTATCACCCGCTTCAGGTACACCCTTTTCCCGGAAAATTCTCATCACCTCTCACCCATCTCTTTTAGATTCCTTCCGAAGTGATCTTCATTGTGAAGTAATTGTAAAATTTCCGATCTTTCTTTTTTGTTTCCATGGCAAAGGTGGTGGCTGCTGCTGTGTTCTTGGCTCTAGGGTTTGCCTTCTATGTGTTCTTTGCACCCTTTGTTGGGAAGAAGATGTATCAGTACATCGCTATGGGCATTTACACTCCTCTGGTACACTGTTTCTTATATATATATAGCTTTATGAGTTTTATGCCTAAGATCTGCCTTCTTCTTTGCCTGTGGATTTCTATCCCAGAAACCTTTTGAAGCTTGGCCTCTTCATGTTTTTCTTTCCTAGCTTTATGGCCTTTCTCTTTTTGGGTCACTGCAATACATTTTCCTTAGTTCTATGATCTGATTTGTTGGAATAAAAAAACATGTTAATCAAATAAGTGGTGAAGTTAGCTTTGTCTCTAGAACTTTATGGATTCCAAGCCATTTGTTGCAAATAATTTGAGCATTGTTCACATAAAGGAATGTGCTTTCTTTTCATGAATTGATCAGTTGTTTCGGATTATTTCTCGAATTATAGAATGATGTGGACTCTATGGGGGTAATGTTTTGAAAAATCTGATGATCTACACCGTACATTTTGTATAATATGATCAAATGCTTATTGTTTTGATTGATATCTCTTATTGGACCATCCTCTTTTGTTCTAGATCGCATGTGTCTTTAGCCTATATATATGGTGTGCGGCTGCGGATCCCGCTGACCCGGGAGTTTTCCTGTCAAAGAAGTACCTAAAAGTTCTCGAAAACGGGAAGTTTCCTCGGGCAAAGGAGATGAAAGATGGCTATGGATCAACTTCATCCCGAATGCACAACGGAGGTACAGCTATAGGTGGCGGGAAATCTCTCGAAAACGCAATGTCCCTTCCAGACACGTCTGTTCAGGACATGGAACATGAACCCGGAAAGAAGTTGAAATCCTCAGAGAATTTGTCTCCCCTGTCCCTGCTTTGCTCTCCTTGTGCAATTCTCTGCCATTGCTGCAGTAGAAAGGATGAATCTTCCGAGCAGCAGATGAGTGAGGATGGAATGTTTTATTGCAGTTTGTGCGAGGTTGAGGTGAGTGGAAGCATTTGAATTCACAGTTCAATCTCACGAAACCTTAAAAGTTCCGACCAAATTCTCTGGCTATATATTGATCTATTATTGGATTCTTCATGGCACTAATACTCGTCTGAATAAATATATGGTCTGTATACCGTTCTTGTAGGTCTTCAAATATAGCAAACATTGCAGAGTTTGTGACAAGTGCGTGGACCGTTTCGATCATCACTGCCGGGTAAAACAGGATCTGCCTGCAGGTTTCTGATTCTCTAAGAACTGTTGTCTCTGCTTGAAAGCCCCTCTCATATGCTTTTTTGTTTCTCCCTGAACTTGTTTCAGTGGCTAAACAATTGTATCGGGAAGAGGAATTATCGACAATTCTTCACTCTTATGGTTTCCGCTATCCTCTTGGTAAGCATTCGGAGCTTCATGAACAATTTTCCATTGCATGATACAACACTGTATATGCAGTGTAAACGTATAGGAAGCATTAGATTAGTAAATTTTTCAGTTTAGGCACACTACTGATGGGTAGATACATTGGCATTTGAGATTGCAGCTTATTATGCAATGGTCAACCGGGATTCTCGTGCTCGTCTTATGTTTTCTCCAAAGGAAGCAATACTCTGCAGATATTTCCTTGAAGTTGGGCAGCAGCTTCTCCCTTGCCCCATTTGTCATCGTCGTCGTAAGTTTTCTAAGACAAAAAAATAAATGAACTTAGCTTTTGTCTCCTTAGCATGTGGATATGAATAACAAAGACTTATATCTTGTTTCTCTTGCAGGCAGTTTGTAGTATACTAGCTATGCTGGCTACATTACCGCTTGCCCAGCTTTTCTTCTTTCACATTCTCCTCATAAAGAAGGTTTTTTTTTTGTTTTGTTTCTGCAATGCTCAAAGAACCTGCAAGCTCTATTCTTAACTGTGTGAGGATGATATATATATTTTTTACCGAGCGGTTTTTGTGGACAGGGAATTAGTACATATGATTACATAGTTGCACTAAGGGAACAAGAGCAAGAGCAGGAAGGTGGTGGAGGACAACAGAGTCCTCAAATGTCGATGGTCAGCTCGCTCACTGGTCTAAGCAGTGCAAGCTCCTTTAATACGTTCCACCGAGCTGCCTGGTGCACTCCCCCTCGGTTATTTCTCGAAGATCAGGTTACTAATGTTGACCCTTTTGCTTCATTCCTCGAATTTTTAAGGAATTCATTTCTTCCGTCTCGAAAGAACCCAGGAAAAGGCCGAACCATTTGATCGGTCATAAGAATCTTGGTATACTCTGGTGTGCGAAACTTCCATGGCTGCATAAAAGTTGACATTTTTTCGATTTTTTTTTTCAGTTTGATGTAGTTCCTCCTGAGAACGCGTCTGTAAGTTCATACGGGAAGAAAATGGCGAGGGAAGAACCTGTGAAGAAGAAGGATATGACAGTGAAGATCAGTCCATGGACTCTGGCTCGGCTCAATGCAGAAGAGGTTTCGAAAGCAGCAGCAGAGGCACGAAAGAAATCCAAAATACTTCAGCCCGTGATGAGACGGGAAAACCCATTTGGCTTGGAAGCAAGCAGCAGTTTTGGCAGCAGTGGTCGGAGGATGTTCCCGAAATTTGATGGTAACAACGGTAAGAGAAGAGCATCTAAACGTGTACGCTTATCAGCTGAATTGCCCATTGAGCCGATGATGAGTAATATCCAAGCAAAAGCTACGGAGACATCAACTAGTTCAGCCTTGGCACCACTTCAGCTTGAAGCAAGAAGTGCCTTTCAGACAAGCCGGGCAATGTCGAGCTCTGGTGTTATTGTCGCTTCTTCTTCGCCAGAGAGCAGCTTAGACTCACCTGACATTCACCCATTTAGGGTTTCCTCTTCAGTCGAAGATTCAACCCATCTCACTGGATTATCATCAACTCTTGCTCTGATGGGTCAACAGAGGGGACAGATGACGATGACGATGATGCCATTGTCAAGGTCTACAAGCGATGGCTATGAAGCTTCTGGTGGGGAGGACAGTGATCAGGTTCCTTCTAAAAGCATCCATAGATTACGATGAAGGATATATAATCGTAGTTTACGGCTGAAAATTTGAAAATCCTTGAGCATTCTTTCGTTCATTGCCGGTGCGATCAAGACAGTGAAGCACTTCGCCATTTCTAAGGCAGAATTGGATTCGTCTTCGGGTGTTCTGAAGATTTACAGTACCAGGAGAGATGGGACGGCAATTAGCACCGGGAAAGGAAGAAGGCGTTTGTGGAAATTGCGTTGCTTGATTTGATTTGATGAACATAGGATTTGCGTTGCTTGAAACTACTTCCTTCTTTGCTTTTTGTCCTTTGCTAAAACTGTCTGTCTAAAAGCTTCATTTCTCGTGAAAATGGCGAAATACAATTCATGGGTTGTTTTCTGGTGATCGTTTGCGCTTTTGTCCAATTTATTTCTCGTATATTGAAGTTTCCGGGACGAATCATGGCGAAAATCAGCGATCCGTGGGGACCCATTTGGAGGAATTCGAGATTGAACCATCCAACCACCAGCAGTTCCATCCAATGAATGCGCTCGAGATTCTGAGGGAAACTGTACGGATTCTCCGGTACAATCTCGGCGCTTTCATGTTGACTGCTGCTGTCCTGATCTGTCCTGTTTCTGCTGTTCTCTTACCAAACCTGCTAGTTGACGAATCATTAGTCTTTTGGGAACAACTTTACACCCAAGTAAAATATAATTAGAATTTGGATGTTTTAAGTAACGGATTATGTATATTCTGTCTTGATTTTGGGAAAGTCACGGGCATGGTAATAGGCACGTGCCTAACAAAAACCCCAAACAAAAGAGAACAAGTTCGCCGGTCCCTTCTGTTCTGTCCCATTTGACCACTTTGCCATATTCTATACGTATGTGGGTTACTATTTTATGCATTTAGGTGTTAGAAGTCTTATAATATTTACTTTTTTTTAATAAAAAAATAATATTCGGTTAATTGTTTGAAATGCTTGGTTTGATATTTTTGTATCTCGACAATTTAAAAAAAATATTGCATTTGAAAATGTTCATATACTTTAATTTTATGTTTTTTAATTGCCGGTTTCTCTATTAAAACTCAAATTAAGAACCGAATCCATTAATTATCGACATTAGTTTGGATTTTGATTTAGGTATTTATTTAAAAACATTAATGTTGATCAACGCGGCGTAGGAGTTGTTAGTAGCCATTTATTTTAATGTTTCTGTTCTTTTCCGTATTAAAAAAAAAGCGTGGCTATTTAATTATTCACTAGAAGTATATTCCTACGTTTTTTTTTTCTAATTTCCAATAAGAATTTGTGTTTTTATTGTTTTTTTCAATAAGTTATTTATTGTGGAAGTTTTAAAGAAAAATAAAATAATTTCCATTGAGAAGGGGAAGAAACAGTTCTTCGAAGGGGCAGAGAGAGATGGAGACTCCATAAAATTTAATGCGTACTATTTAATCTCTTTATTTTTTGAATAGTTCGATCTATAAAGTGCGAAATAAATAAATAAATAAAATTTACATACACAATTTAAAGTTTTATTGTAAATATATCTGGAGCTTTTGATTGATGATTGATTAGCGGCGTAAGTTGGGTTGAATTTATTAAAAAAAAAACAACTTAGATGGTTATTTAAAATATTGTTGCTAACTTGAAAACTTTAAAAAAAAAATATTAGTATACTCAAATTTTTAACATTTATTAACTTAACGAATGAAACTCTTTATATTCGAATATCCAAATAATTATCATTATAAACGTAACTATCAAAAACTCTATAAATTTCACCAACCATCTTACGTAAATGTGTTAGAACAAATTTGGATATGCATGTAACTATCATTTCATTGTTGAATTATATTAAAAAAATGTGTTAGAACAAATTTGGATCTGCATGTGGAATGTAAGCACATGTACACGTATATACACACATATATATATAAAGATTTGGACATGCAAAAATTGGCTTTTGATTCAATTGGCCTTTTTTTTTCGAAGAGGGAGACATAATAATATGTTGAAAATAAACCCTACCAATGATAATGGCGTTTTACCATATAAAAAAAAGTCCAACTTCTGACAAGAAAATGCCAAAAACATTCCAGCTTCCGAAACTTTGAACTACGAACCAAATTCCAACATTAATTTTATTTTTTAAACCCTAATTTACAAAAATAAATAAATGGTTCCCCGATGGTCCCTTTATCGCTTCCATGTTACGTCACTCTCCATTTCGAATATTATAAAATAAATCATTTAAATAATATTCTCCATTTCTAATTTTCTAGGTGCAGCTTATAATTTTCTCTCTCTTTTTTTTTTCCCATGAAATTTTCAACCAAGTTTTTTTTTTCTAATTTACACACTACCGTGAAATGCGTTGATATTGTTTCTTTTTCTTTTTTTGTACTTAATGTTATAAATATAAAGGTTTTTAAAATGTCATGAGCTATTATGAATGTCCACCACGTGAACCATGCTACGAAAAAACCAAAATAGCTTAATTGTTAGTGTTATTTAAATTTAAATTAGCAATTAAGTCAAATCAAAGTCACCTAATTAATGCCATGCATCTTTTATATATATATATATATATTGAGCATTCGTTCATTGGTTAGCGTAACTAACCAGAAATCGTCTTTATATGATATTTATATATAAATCTAAACTATGTGATATATCATTTCTACGTTATTACCTAAAACCTCTATTCATCAACTTATATTTAAGATCTTTCCAAAAGACTTTGCAGATAAAGAAATAATGAATTAATTTTAGCACGGATACGAGGTTAATGATTTAAAACGACAATCGCCAAAAAAAATAATGAATTTTCAAAAAAAGTTTTATATAAAATCATCAATTTTATAATTTTTTTTATATAAAATCATGGTTTTTTAATTTTATTATACTCTTACGTTTTTATTAACTTTATATATTTTGTAATTTTTATATAAAATCATAAACTCTATAAATCTTTTTATAAATATAAAAAGATTTATAGAGTTTATTAAAAAAGAAAGAAAAAGAAATGACAATTAAATTTTTAAACTAATCCTGAATTGTTGGTATACATGTTTCAAGATCTTTGAATCTCGATTTGAATCCTATCCTCAAAATGAAATTATCCTCCACACCAATCTTTTATTATTTGGTATGCTAATTTAGAGACAAACGAAAATTAGTACGAATATACAAGATTTAAAAATACCGTTTTTAAAGTTAAACGGCGTTTCAAACCCGTCATCGTATAACAAAAAAGGTTTTAAGCTAAGAAATGATGGGCAATGGTACGAAGTCCGGTCAGGCCCAGCTTGAAAAAATAGTAGGTTTCGGATCGAAGTTTTATTGCTCGAAAAAAATCGGATTTTTGGACCGGACTCAAATCGAGTTTCGGATTCCAGTCGGACCGATTCAAAAGCCAGAAAATAAAAAAAGGAAAAAAATATTTATAAAGGAAGGTCTATAGGTCGGTCTAGCCCAACTCGATCCGACTCGAATCCGGAATACATAGGATAGAACTTCGGATTTAATTATATAGGTCCGAAAAAAATCGGGTCAATCCGAGACTGAATCGAAATTTTCAGATTGAATACGAGTTCGTATCAGATCGGAGCGGTCCGACCCCATTGACACCTAAGAGTAATGGTATTAAAAAAAGGTAAGAGATAAAGAAAGAGAGAAAGAAAGAAAGAGAGAGTTGGTGATGACAATTTAACAAAGGAGGAAGCAAACAAAGTGTGACTAGGGGTGTCAAACGAGCCAGCTCGAATCGTTTTGGGTTCAGTTCGTTAGACTCGTTTTCTAACGAGACAGAAAAACCTCGGCTCAGATCGTTCGCCAGTTTTCCGATCTGAACGAGCCTAACGAGGGATATATAATATTTTTTATTTATATTTATTTTAAATATAATTATAAATTTAAATAAATATATAAAAATTTAATAAAACACCAATATCATTTAAAATTTTCAATTATCATCATTATAATAATTAGTATATTTATAATATCATATAAATGATATAAAAAAAATTAATATAAAATTACATTAGAGTTTTTTTATATAAATCTAATTTATTTTAAAAAAAAATACCAACTCGTTGAGCGGTTCGCCAAGCTCGTCGTTTTTTAACGAGCTGAAAAAATTATTAGAGCTCAAATCGCTTGTTTTGGCGAACCACGAGCCAACTCGCAAGCCTGTCTCTTTTGACACCCCTTAGTCTTAGTCTGTGACGCATGATCTGGCCTGAGTAAAAAAAAAAAGTTCACTGCTTTGCCTTTGCTAATTATAACCTCTCGCTCTCTCATCCATGGTGGATTCTTAGATCTGTTCACCAATGCAAAAAAAGCTTTGCCCAGAAGAAACAAAGAGAAACCCCAAAACCCAGAATTGGTTTTTCCTTTTGTTTTTCTCAGTTTTCATCTTTGGTGTTATTAATCTCTTTCCCGAGTGGTCAAATGTCTTCCTCTTCACTCTTCTGCTGCTGAGTCCGTGAGAGTAAATGTTGGATTTCTGGGGAATATGAGGGAAAAGGCGGAACCTTTCTTCATTTCTTGACTTGGGTTTCTTCCATTCTTCTTCTGGGTTTGAGGATTTTTACCAGAAAATGAGGAAACATGGATGCCAGCTTCCTTATCACCCGCTTCAGGTACACCCTTTTCCCGGAAAATTCTCATCACCTCTCACCCATCTCTTTTAGATTCCTTCCGAAGTGATCTTCATTGTGAAGTAATTGTAAAATTTCCGATCTTTCTTTTTTGTTTCCATGGCAAAGGTGGTGGCTGCTGCTGTGTTCTTGGCTCTAGGGTTTGCCTTCTATGTGTTCTTTGCACCCTTTGTTGGGAAGAAGATGTATCAGTACATCGCTATGGGCATTTACACTCCTCTGGTACACTGTTTCTTATATATATATAGCTTTATGAGTTTTATGCCTAAGATCTGCCTTCTTCTTTGCCTGTGGATTTCTATCCCAGAAACCTTTTGAAGCTTGGCCTCTTCATGTTTTTCTTTCCTAGCTTTATGGCCTTTCTCTTTTTGGGTCACTGCAATACATTTTCCTTAGTTCTATGATCTGATTTGTTGGAATAAAAAAACATGTTAATCAAATAAGTGGTGAAGTTAGCTTTGTCTCTAGAACTTTATGGATTCCAAGCCATTTGTTGCAAATAATTTGAGCATTGTTCACATAAAGGAATGTGCTTTCTTTTCATGAATTGATCAGTTGTTTCGGATTATTTCTCGAATTATAGAATGATGTGGACTCTATGGGGGTAATGTTTTGAAAAATCTGATGATCTACACCGTACATTTTGTATAATATGATCAAATGCTTATTGTTTTGATTGATATCTCTTATTGGACCATCCTCTTTTGTTCTAGATCGCATGTGTCTTTAGCCTATATATATGGTGTGCGGCTGCGGATCCCGCTGACCCGGGAGTTTTCCTGTCAAAGAAGTACCTAAAAGTTCTCGAAAACGGGAAGTTTCCTCGGGCAAAGGAGATGAAAAATGGCTATGGATCAACTTCATCCCGAATGCACAACGGAGGTACAGCTATAGGTGGCGGGAAATCTCTCGAAAACACAATGTCCCTTCCAGATACGTCTGTTCAGGACATGGAACATGAACCCGGAAAGAAGTTGAAATCCTCAGAGAATTTGTCTCCCCTGTCCCTGCTTTGCTCTCCTTGTGCAATTCTCTGCCATTGCTGCAGTAGAAAGGATGAATCTTCCGAGCAGCAGACGAGTGAGGATGGAATGTTTTATTGCAGTTTGTGCGAGGTTGAGGTGAGTGGAAGCATTTGAATTCACAGTTCAATCTCACGAAAGCTCAAAAGTTCTGACCAAATTCTCTGGCTATATATTGATCTATTATTGGATTCTTCATGGCACTAATACTCGTCTGAATAAATATATGGTCTGTATACTGTTCTTGTAGGTCTTCAAATATAGCAAGCATTGCAGAGTTTGTGACAAGTGCGTGGACCGTTTCGATCATCACTGCCGGGTAAAACAGGATCTGCCTGCAGATTTCTGATTCACTAAGACCTGTTGTCTCTGCTTGAAAGCCCCTCTCATATGCTTTTTTGTTTCTCCCTGAACTTGTTTCAGTGGCTAAACAATTGTATCGGGAAGAGGAATTATCGACAATTCTTCACTCTTTTGGTTTCCGCTATCCTCTTGGTAAGCATTCAGAGCTTCATGAACAATTTTCCATTGCATGATACAACACTGCATATGCAGTGTAAACATAATATAGGAAGCATTAGATTAGTAAATTTTTCAGTTTAGGCATACCACTGACGGGTAGATACATTGTTTTGTCCTCCTTGGCATTTGAGATTGCAGCTTATTATGCAATGGTCAACGGGGATTCTCGTGCTCGTCTTATGTTTTCTCCAAAGGAAGCAATACTCTGCAGATATTTCCTTGAAGTTGGGCAGCAGCTTCTCCCTCGCCCCGTTTGTTATCGTCGTCGTATGTTTTCTAAGACAAAAAAAGAAAAGAAAAGAACTCAGCTTTTGTCTCCTCACTCCTCAGCATGTGAATATGAATAACAAACTCAGATATCTTGTTTCTCTTGCAGGCAGTTTGTAGTATACTAGCTATGCTGGCTACATTACCACTTGCCCAGCTTTTCTTCTTTCACATTCTCCTCATAAAGAAGGTTTTTTGTTTTTGTTTCTGCAATGCTCGAAGAACCTGCAAGCTGTATTCTCAATTGTGTGACGATGATGTATATGTTTTTTACGGGTGGGCGTTTTTTTTTGTTGACAGGGAATTAGTACATATGATTACATAGTTGCACTAAGGGAGCAAGAGCAAGAGCAGGAAGGTGGTGGAGGACAACAGAGTCCTCAAATGTCGATGGTCAGCTCGCTCACTGGTCTAAGCAGTGCAAGCTCCTTTAATACCTTCCACCGAGCTGCCTGGTGCACTCCTCCTCGGTTATTTCTCGAAGATCAGGTTACTAATGTTGACCCTTTTGCTTCATTCCTCGAATTTTTAAGGAATTCATTTCTTCCATCTCGAAAGAAACCAGAAAAAGGCCGAACCATTTGATCGGTTGACATTTTTTCGATTTTTTTTTTCAGTTTGATGTAGTTCCTCCTGAAAACGCGTCTGTAAGTTCATACGGGAAGAAAATGGCGAGGAAAGAACCTGTGAAGAAGAAGGATATGACAGTGAAGATCAGTCCATGGACTCTGGCTCGGCTCAATGCAGAAGAGGTTTCGAAAGCAGCAGCAGAGGCACGAAAGAAATCCAAAATACTTCAGCCCATGATGAGACGGGAAAACCCATTTGGCTTGGAAGCAAGCAGCAGTTTTGGCAGCAGTGGTCGGAGGATATTCCCGAAATTTGATGGTAACAACGGTAAGAGAAGAGCATCTAAACGTGTACGCTTACCAGCTGAATTGCCCATTGAGCCGATGATGAGTAATATCCAAGCAAAAGCTATGGAGACATCAACTAGTTCAGCCTTGGCACCACTTCAGCTTGAAGCAAGAAGTGCCTTTCAGACAAGCCGGGCAATGTCGAGCTCTGGTGTTATTGTCGCTTCTTCGCCTGAGAGCAGCTTAGACTCACCTGACATTCACCCATTTAGGGTTTCCTCTTCAGTCGAAGATTCAACCCATCTCACTGGATTATCATCAACTCTTGCTCTGATGGGTCAACAGATGGGACAGATGACGATGACGATGATGCCATTGTCAAGGTCTACAAGCGATGGCTATGAAGCTTCTGGTGGGGAGGACAGTGATCAGGTTCCTTCTAGAAGCATCCATAGATTACGATGAAGGATATATGATCGTAGTTTACGGCTGAAAATTTTAAAATCCTTGAGCATTATTTCGTTCATTGCCAGTGCAATCTGACGTATTGATCAAGACAGTGAAGCACTTTGCCATTTCTAAACCAGAATTGGATTCGTCTTCGGGTGTTCTGAAGATTTACAGTACCAGGAGAGATGGGACGGCAATTAGCACCGGGAAAGGAAGAAGGCGTTTGTGGAAATTGCGTTGCTTGATTTGATTTGATGAACATAGGATTTGAACAAGAACAAAACTACCTTCTTTGCTTTTTGTCTTTTGCTAAAGCTGTCTGTCTAAAAGCTTCATTTCTCGTGAAAATGGTGCTTTGCTCTTCTGTCCATTTTATTTCTTGTATTCCGACAATTGAATTCCGCAGTTTGACATAAGGAAAAGGATCAAGTATTCATTTAGTGAAATCCAATTTAAGCAAAGCTATAAATCTTTTATATTCACTTACCGTGCGTTAAGAGAGAACATCATTTCCGAGATCCCATCCAAGATTCTCCTTGTTGGATCCGAATTTAACGCTTTCGGACAAGACCCTTTCATTTCTCTCGCTTTCCCAGTCGGCCCCTTTCACTTTTCCAAGCTCCCTTGCGTGAATTTGGTTTCTTTTGCTCTCGGACGCTTTCCTTGCTTTGAACAGTGCGAAGATCCAATTCCGTCGTTCCAGATTCGGTTTTCTGGGTTCTGAAGGTAATCCGCCAATCTGGGTTAGCTAAAAGATCTTTGATTTGCGTCAATATCATCCCCATTGTTTGCGGAATCCGGGTTTTATGGCCGCATAATCCTGGGTTCAGCTGAAGCCACTCCGGTCGGAATGGAGATTGAAGTTTCCGGGACGAATCATGGCGAAAATCAGCGATCCGTGGGGACCCATTTGGAGGAATTCGAGATTGAACCATCCAACCACCAGCAGTTCCATCCAATGAATGCGCTCGAGATTCTGAGGGAAACTGTACGGATTCTCCGGTACAATCTCGGCGCTTTCATGTTGACTGCTGCTGTCCTGATCTGTCCTGTTTCTGCTGTTCTCTTACCAAACCTGCTAGTTGATGAATCATTAGTTGAGAAACTCACGGTCAGGTTGCTCATAGTTACAGAGTCCAGTGGCCTTCCTCTTAAGCCCTTTGTGAAACACTCGTGCCGGAAATTCGCTGAAACCGCTGTTTCATCTGCAATGTGTTTTCCATTGTCCGTAACATTGTCTCTCCTGTCAAGGGCAGCCATTGTTTACTCAGTGGATTGCACTTATTCCAGGACAAATGCCGATGTAAGCAAGTTCATTGTCACAGTCCAGAGGCTTTGGAAACAGCTTGTTGTTACCTACTTGTGGATATGTTTGGTTATTGTCGGTTGCCTCACATCATTCTTCGTCATTCTTATCGCAATCTGTAGCTCCTTTTCTGTTCTCGGACTCTCTCCCGATCTCCATACCTATGGAGCTATCGTAGTTGGAATGGTGTTTTCTGTTGTTTTTGCAAATGCCATTATAATCTGCAACACAGCAATTGTGGTATGCATACTCGAAGATTTGTCAGGGCATCGAGCTTTGGTCCGCGCCAGCGATCTGATCAAGGGGCAGACTCAGGTGGGTTTGTTGATATTTCTCGGATCAACAATAGGTTTGGCATTTGTGGAGGGATTGTTCGAGCATAGAGTGAAGAACTTGAGTTATGGAGACGGGTCTTCGAGGATATGGGAAGGGCCCCTTCTGGTTGTGATGTATTCGTTTGTTGTCCTTGTCGATTCGATGATGAGTGCAGTGTTCTATTTCAGCTGCCGGTTTTACAGATCGGAAGGATGTCGGATACTGAGAGAGTTACCGGTTCTTTGGGAAAGAACAGTCATTCCTTGTTGTAGTGTCTTTTCCACGTAAATTACATGTAGTTATTAGTGTGTGTTTTTTGGTTGATGTATTCATATTTACATGGTTTCAAGATCACTGTGAGTTCATGTCTTGGTTATTTGAATCTTTGTTACTTCCTACTTGCTATTGCTTTCTGAGCTCTTTGTACCATAGAATTCAGGGACTAAATTTATCGTCTAGGAAGTGTCGGGATGGTGAATGCAAGATTTAGAAAATATCGCGGCTTTTCTTTAATTAATAATAGTTTGAGGCCGACACGTGTAAAGATCGGATCCGGTTCATCTCGGTCGTAAGGCTAAACAGAAAAAGCCCATAAAAAGCCCAATCATATCACCGCCTCTGCCGTTTCGGCGGTTCATCAAGAAATTCGAATCGCTCATGGAGAAAGTTCTCTCCGCCGGATCGGGAGTTCGCCAGAGATCGGTCGGATACGCCGGCGGATAAGCGGCGGAATGAGGCTGAAGATCAAGCCGAGACCGATCGTCAATCCCGTATTCAGGTGATTCTGCGTTACCGCATCTTTCGTTTCTCTCTCGTGTTTCGTTAGTTTCTATGTTTTGATCGGTTGAATTTCTTATTCTGTTTTTTTTTCCTGGAATTGGATCGTGTTCTAGTCTTGATTTGTTCCTACGCTTGGGTTTCGGTGTTGTTGTCGCCGGTGTTGGCGAAGAACCATCCTATATCTATGTTTTCACGAATGTCGAATGCTCAAATTCCAGGATGTGTTCGGTTCTGAGGATGAAGCAGAGTGATGTCCTCCATTACTGCTGATCTCATACATTTGCCTGGTGCTGTGAAGGAAGATCTCGAAGATAATCAGAGCTTTTTGTCAGAATGAATTTTTACGCCGTGCTGCAAAGAAGAGGAGGTAGTCAGTGTTTTCCTGAAAATGAGTGAAACAAAACTGAAAGGTACATGTATTTCATGTTTTGTGAGATCACAATTAGTTGTATCATAAGAACATGATGGAAATTGGAATACCTAACCTAGGATTATTAGCGTTTAGAGGACTTGTTTATAACTTGTGGTAGGCGTATGAGTTTATTTCATTTCAGTATTTTATGAAAGTTCTCTTATATGCTAATCAACAATCGTGACAATGACGATTGCCATTTTTCGGCAGTGTGCTGTGTTGGGAAGGAGAAGAGCGTGCCGGGAAGACGTTGAAGCTTTTACACTTCAGGTCAGCCCTGTAGGCTGTAGTATTATTTAACTGTTTTCCTGTCTATTTCATATAAGCGGGAAAGGTAGATGGATTTTGCTTCAAGAGTCTGTACAATGGATTTTGGTTGGTAGGTTGTTCTTTTCGAATTCGAAATGAATGGAGAAAAAGAATTCATGTAGACAACCTCAAATAAACTTGGGATTAAGGTGGTGGTGTTGTTGTAGGTTGTTCTTAAGCCGGCCCTAGATCAGCGTGCATGCTCGGATAATCTTGCTAACTGAGAACATGTTAGGGTGTGGTAAGTGTTTTGGCAGTAATCATTTTCCCAGCGATGTCTTCATCGGGTGATGATAAGAAACAGGTAATATAGCATGTTTCAGATTAGTAGATTATATTCCTCTGCTGGCACTGCCTGTTCTGATACGTACTCATCCTCATTTTGTCACCTTTTGTTGACAATGAATCAGAGGAATGTCCCCCGCTAAGGATGATCTTGAAGAAGGGGTCTTGTATGTTGTGCAGTTTTTTGGATGGTAAGGAGTTTTATTTAAGAGAATGATAAAAGCTTTGCGGGCTTATTTTCCGTTTCGTGGGTCAGTTTTCAGAGTAGTCTGAATGCGGAAAACTATAATGATCTGAAAAATGGAACTAAAAATAGAGTGCAGCTATCGGGAAGCTAAATGAAGGTAACAATCTGGTTGTACTTTCTTTGACGCACTTGTTTTAGTTTTGGGTGTTAGAGAGAATACTAGTTAGGAAGAATGGAAGGGGACCGGATTAAAAGTTTCAAAATGAGTTTAGCTCGCGAGTTGATTCATTATCGACTCGTTTTTTCGTTGAGTCGGTATTTTTAAAACTTGTTTGTAAACGAGTCTAACAAACCACCTCGTCAGAGTCGGGAGCTCTAGCTAGCCAGATCGACGAGTCATGTGCTATGTGCTATGCGAGCTTATGAGTTTTTTTTTTTTTTAATTATAATTTTTATATATTTTATAAAAAAAATGTAATACTTAATTAGTTCGTAAAGTAGACGAGTCGAGTTGAACCAGAGCTTTTTTTTTGTTCTTGTGAAATCGAATTTAACGAGTTGAGTGCAAAATGAACAAGTTCATTTCGATCCGGTCTGAGTTGATTTGAGTTGGTTTGTTTGACAACCCTAGGTCGAAAAGGTTGATTATTTTGAGTAAGTGAATTCCATGTGATTGTCGTGACATGTGAAATCAACGTTTACATGTAGGGATTGGATATTATTGGATAGATTTATCACGTATTTTAAAGATATTTGAATTTATTTTGGATATAAATGTTTTAAATTGGTTTGAAATGATTTTGAATATATATATATATATCGTTAAAAATGATTGAAAATAATTAAAAATATTTGGGTTCGTTTATTTGCATATTATCTCCCCGAGTGAGTTTGGATATTCGATTTGATAGAAGTAATACAATATATAATCCGAAATATTTGGATCGGGTAATCGGTATCCGAGTCTCTGCCACCATATACTTTATTCCCCGGCCAACGGATTTTAATCGGCCGTACTGAATTTGCTTGAGGCCCAATTCGAACGAAAACGAACCATGCTATGATGAATTGGGCCACCGTCGTAAGTTGCCGATAAAAGGACCCACAACTGGTTTTAAAATACTACTGCAAATGGGCTGAAATAGAGTTTAGTCGAAACAATGGGCCTGCATTGGGTCCATTTAAGCCACCATGAGACGCAATTTGGGCTGAACTCAGCCTGTATATGTTAGTGGGGCCTCATTGGGCTTATTTTGTGCCATAAATATTTTTATTCGATAAATGGGCCATAACCTTGGTAGAGATGTGCCGTGTTTTGAGCCCGACTGGACTATGACTTGATTCATTTCTGGGCAAATTGGCTTTTCAGCTTTTCCTAAATTAAAATCGGGATTTATGTCGTCGTCTGTTAATTCTTTCACCTTATTGTAAATTCATTTACAAACAGAAATAACTAACTTAATCCTAAATAAAATATTACTGCAATTAAGAAAATAGTTAGTTAAAAAAAATATACTACAGATGTGGAAACAAAAAATAAAATAATTTATGTTGGCCGAAAAAAGCGTTCACAGAGGCCTTTCTTTTCTCCACGCGCCATCTTAGCTCAATATTCAAGATTCCGCTGTTTTCCCTGGGTTATAACCTAGGGAAATCAAGCGCGTTATGCAAACGCGCTATATGTGCGCGTATGAATTGTTTACGTACTTATTTGGGGCATGTTCGATGGATTGAGGCCTATGGATCGCAATTAATGAGCCGTTATGCTTTGGGCCTATGAATTTGAGAAAGGCCCATTTTATTTTCAGCAAACCGTGAAGATTATTCCGCGTCCACGTAAAATGTATGATAAATATTTTTTTCTCCTCTTATCCTTTCGATTAAGCGACATAATTCAACTATTCAAAAACAATTTTTTTTTATCATTTTTCGTCGGAACATATATATATATATATATATATATATATATATATTGCAGTCGTTGAATTTAGTTTAGTGTTTTTGTGCAGTTGATATGCATTTTTCAGAGTTACTCGGCCCATTTAGCTACGAGCGACAGAAATATAAAGGAACTGACTATGCAGCGAAACACCTCTCTCAGATAGAGGAGGAGCGACAGTAAACAGTAAGGAAGCTATTTGGTTTCCATTGCTCTCCGAGCCATTGTTCCCGCGTTTCAAGAAAACTCCACAGAAAAGATGGGTACGTATAAAGTTCAGCAACATGAACAAGAAATTGTCAGATATGCTCAAGCAAAAGTACATGTAGAATTCTCTACCACCAAAACCATTCATAGATCAACCAACCTTGCTTATATATATCGGTTGCATATAGAAGTCGTCTCTACCTACCACTATTACTAACTCCTCAGTTTTTTTAGCTTTTGGCTTTGCCTTGGTATTAAGCGTGGAGATTTCCCTAAATATTCACTGTTAGATCTCAGGAAATATCACCCTTTAGAATGCACAACCTCCCGCTATTCCAAAATATACAATTCAGAAATATATAAAACTATGCAACAAATCTCAAATCAAGGACTGACAAAACAAAAATTGCAATGAAAAAGCAGAGATGCATTACTAAGGTGTTGACTGGTGGAATCGCAATCGCAATCGCGATGATTGCGGACGTTTACGATGCGTTTGCTGGCGATTCTAGGCGATTGGTACTGACTGGTAAAAAAACTATTGTTGGTAGCGATTGCGAGTGATTGCGATTTAGAACGATTGGTTGATAGCGATTGCGATTTGATTTAAATTACAAAAAAATCATCATTATATACAATACTAACCATTTTTAAAATATTTTTAATTAGTGTTTTTACTATTATTTAATATCAGATAATTATTAAACTTATAAATAATTAATTATAAAATTGAAAATATTATTTTGTTATCAATTTAATTTATTTTCAAAGATAATTTTAATATTAAAAATATTTATTGGTAAAACCAAACAATATCAAACATAATATATACCAAACAAAATTATTAATATATTTTTTTAATTTATGTATGTATATATGTATTAAGTATATAAATATATGTATGTATATATATGTCTATATATGTGTATATATGTATGTATATGTATATATATGTATGTGTGTATATATGTATGTATATATATATATGTGTATGTATATATATGTATGTGTGTGTATATATATGCATGTATGTATATGTATGTGTATATATATGTATATGTACATATGTATATATTTATATATGTATATGTGTATATATGTATGCATGTGTATATATATATGTATTATGTGTATATAGATGTATGTATGTATATATGATTGTGTGTATATATATGTATGCGTATATATGTATGTATGTATATATGTATGCATGTATGTGTGTGTATATGTGTGTGTATATATATGTATGTATGTGTGTATATATATGTGTTTATATGTATGTATGTATATGTTTATATATGTATGTATGTATATATGTATATGTATGTATGTGTATGTATGTGTATATGTATATGTATGTATATATGATTGTTTGTGTATATATATGTATGTATGTATGTATGTGTGTATGTATATATATATATATGTATTATATATATATTTATATATTTTATGTATATATACACATACCTAAGTTTTTTATATATATAATATGATATGTATGTATATATATACTAATTAATATTAGGAGTATTTTGGTCATTTAATCAAAATGCTGCAAAACGCTATCGTAATGCAATCTTTTAGCTGCGATTAGAATATTGATGTTTTGTTGCGATTGCGGACGATTACGATTCCAGCAATCACTTTTTCAATCACCCGTAATCGCCAGAAGTTTCAATCGGTGCGATTGCGGGCGATTGCGTTACCACCGCAACAAGACGCAGACATCACAATAGCCAGTACTGGAAGCTAACCCTAATCTATGTAAAGGGTAACATAGCACTCTTCCGTGCCCAACCTGCTTTTAGGGAATAAATCTAAAAAACAAGCAATCACTACACTGTTATTGATTCACATCGCCAGATTTATCATTGAGCACTGAATCCTCCAACGATAAAGTTTAAAAGCACTATAGAACAGATGATTTCCCCTTTCACTACTTTCATTAAAAAATTTCATGTGGATTGTGTACAATATTATCAAATCTTTTTATTTCATCTTTGATTGAAACCTTACTGTCCAAACAACAATCTAACAACCATTTTTTAGAACCCCACCACCCCCACTTCTTGCAATTCGAATGTACATGAATGAAGGTACCATATTTGCATAGATAAGAATAAGAAAAAAAATGTAGGCAAGAACTCACAGGGCAACTCTGTAGAAAGAAATCCTGGTGACTCATCAAGAGGAAATGTAGGTGAGATTTCCAAAGTAACAACATATACTTGACTACTTGTTGATCAGAAAAGCACCACGCGAACCAGTCTCAGGACACCTAGAACCTGACAATGCGCAATAAATCGAGAAGGCATTTCAGTACAAGGAAGGGTATGCATCTAGCATTCTTAAGATTGTTGGTGTCATGTTGTATTGCGCAACCGAAATAAACAACATATCCAATCACGCAGGGCAGGACAGAATAAATAAAGTAAGAAAACGAAATAATCGCATGTGCAGCAATACCTTCGAGATAATCTGCCCCTGGGATACCAAAGTATCTGTCAGGATATCCGACAGCTAAAAAATTTTCCAACAAACTAAAAGGGCATTATATCAAAAATACCCTTAAAATGCTACTTCTACTTCAACACCTACCCTTGTGACCATGTGACCAATGTGACCGAAATATAGTGTGGTCACATATTGATCTCATTGTTCATAACGTTAAATTTATGATGTTTTAATCAAATGATTAGTAAGATATACAAGGTATAAACATAATGAATTAGTGTGATCACCATAAATTTAACGTTATAATCGATAAAAATCAAAATGTGACCATACTATATTTCGGTCACATTGGTCACATGTGACCAGGGTAGGTCTTGAAGTAGAAATAGCATTTTAAAGGTATTTTTGATAATGCCCCAACTAAAAGCCAAACAGAGCAAGCAAAAGATACAATTTCCTCGAACTTTACATCGCAACCCTGCCTAAGGACAGCTGCATAATCGCAACATTGGTAACATCGTGATTTAGTATAGGTCCTCTACATGTGTCTCATAAGTTCTGAGAGAGAGTGTGTCCTCAATCCTCATGCACGTAAGAAGAAATGTATCAGATGAAATTATGACATCTCAGGGTGGACATGCATCATTGCATTTTCCTGTGAAGTCTGGACTTCAGTCAAAAAACGAAGATGATCAACATGCAATATACACGATAATATATGAATTAAACAGACACAGAAAATGAAGGGGAGCAAGATGATTCATGCATGACTTCATCTGGTATATACAAAGCAGAAGAGAAAATGACATGGATATGAGATTGGCAGCAGCAGGTCAGAGATGAGGGGTAGCCATTTCGGGCTTCGGTTATAGAAAAACTATAACCATTCGGTTTTTATATAAACTTTGGTTCGGTTCGGTTATTTTTTAAATGGCCACCCCTAGAGATAGAAAAAAAAAGAGGACAATGAACATTTCACGGCACTTGATTTATACAAAATTAATCAGAACAATATGGAAGTCCAGACGTACTTATATTGGCCTTCATGTTTCACCCTCGTGTCGTAATCAATTAACAGATCACTCTAAGCTAGCAAACCATAAACTAATCTGATTCAAACATCTAAAAGCTCCTAAAATTCCAGTTTGATATTGCGATGCCATCATTCAATTTCTATAACACAGATTTCGCTTCTATGAGCAATTATGTATATTAAAAGACAACGGAAAGATGAGATCAAGAGAATCTAAAACCCTAGAAACCGCAAATCTAAATCTATTTATCAGAAAATTAAAACCGTCAGACTACGGGACATAAAAACCAAGTGTGCGAGATCTCAATGCGTTCTCCGAACCGAACACATCCTCTCATTTGAGCATTCTCGAAACTAAAGATATATTTCTTCTCCGCCAACATATCGGCAGCAACAACAAGAAGGCCGAAATCCCAGCGGAGGAGCAAATCAAATTACAACACGATCCAAACGTCGAAAAAGAAAACGAAATAGGAAATTCAACAGATCAAACCCTAGAAATCAAAGAAACGAGCGAGAAACGAAAGATGCGATGACGCAAAATCACCTAAACACAGGTCTGACGATCGTTCTCCGCTTGACCTTTGGCCCCCTTCCACCACTTCTCCGCCTTCATGACCGACCGATATCCGGCGTGGTCCCGATCCGGCGGAGACAGGTCTCTCCCGGAGAGATTCGAATTTTTTCACGAAAGGACGAAAATGCGGAGACGGTTACATGATTGGGCTCCCGTCCTAGATATTTTTAGGCATTTTATGGGCTTTTCGGGTTTAGCCCCACAACCGGATCCGCGACCCGTTTCCCATCTTTTCTTTACACGTGTTAAATATCAGGGGCGTGAGCTCTACTTTAAGAAGTACGGTGACTTTTCTCAAATTATGAAAATATAAAAGGACTTCAAAAGAATATGATCATGGCGATGGCTATAAAAATCATTGACGAATACCGTAACGAGGATCAACCGGTCCACTATCATGTGACTTGAATGTTGTGATTAATGTCTAAATGCATTTAAAGTATGGTGACTTTTCCCAAATTATCAATTAAAAAAAATAAGTGTTACACAAATTTTCATGATTTTTATGGGATTCGAACTATACTATATTTTTTTTTATTGAAATTTAATTATCAATTAAAAGATAAGTAACACACAAATTTAATCTCTTGGCATAAACCATAAACTTCTTGATTAAAAAAAAATTAATCCTAGACGTTAGATGTGATGGCTAGGTTATGAACAACATAATTTATGGATGCACATATTGTGAGGAGTGTATGCAGATGCAAATATATATATATATATATCAGACTTAAGTTATTGAAATTCATTGTTTTAGACTTCCGCTGTAGAGCCTGATTTGGATGGTTGATTTTAGAATAATTTCTATTTTATTTTTATAACCCAAGTGACGATTCAACGATATCCGAAATACCGGATTTTGGGTCATTACAATGTGGATCTCTCTCAAGCTTCTGAGCAGGATTCTAAGGCTGACAATGCTGATGTGGATCTCCCTCAAGCTTGTGACGAGGGTTCTAAGGGTGGGAATGCTGATGTGGATCTCCCTCAAGCTTGTAACGAGGGTTCTAAGGGTGAGAATGTTGATATGGATCTCCCTCAAACTTGTGAGGAGGGTTTAGAGGCTGGGAATGTTGATTTGAATCTCCCAAAGACTTCTGAAACCCCAATAGAAGACCAGGATGACATAGCCCCATCCGAAACCCCGAAGGAAGTCCCTCAAGTAGTCCCAACATCTGGTACCGCAGAAGGTAACTCTAGTTCTGAAACTTCACCACTCAGATTTCCTTTGAAAAGAAAACAAAGATAAAGGCCCGCAAAAAGAAGTCCATATGTTGAACCAAAATCGAGTGAACGCCCTGCAAAGAATAAACGTTGCAAGACACTTGTTAGAGGTAGAGGAAGAACAGGAAGGGGGAGAGGAAGGAGCAGAGGAAGTAGCGGAGGCAGAGGTACACAACAGTAGGAAGAACTAAAGAAATTGGAATCAGAAGGCGAAGAATCTGAGGAATCAGATGGAGAAGAAGAACCAAAGAAATCTGAGGTTGCATACTTTGTTTGGCGACCTGAAGGAGTTAAGGGTGACAGCCTCATAAGGACGTCATCATTTCTTTCATCGTCCACTCTAAAAGCGAGCATTCTTTGGAAATTTATGAATTTGCCCCGAGAGAAAAGACTTTGGAAGTCTATTTTGAATGCAACCAGAGATTCAGAGTTTTTTGAAACTATTTTGGAGGGCGGAAAATGGCTCACAGATGAGGTAAGGCCCCATTAAATAGGTCACATGGGCCATGAGTCTCACGGGCCATGTCTAACATGTTTTTGTTTTCTTTGACAACATATGGAAGAGGCAATGTGTGCGTTTCGGTGCAACTTGTCAAAGTACTCCGGTAAAACAGTGATCTCCAACTGTTGCATTTGTGATCTATACTTCTCGGAGACCATCATGCGGTGGGAAGAGAGTGTGGACCTGTCCAAGCTGGGTTTTCTTGAAAAATACTTCTCCGGAAAACGTCCAGTTGGAGGTGTACATAAGTCATTGCACAAGTATGATATTCTTGTAACTGTTGTGAATATCCATCCCTTCACCCGCAGACCCCAAAATTCCCTATCATAGGGTTGCCATTAAAGTGGATATCAGGGACACGAGAGATCCAATCTCTGTCAAACTGAACTTGAATTCTCCGAACCGTAACCATAGTCATATAGATACATCCTTAGAATTAGTTTTTGCATAACCCGAAAAAATCCCGACACCTAGGATGTTTTAAATTGATTTGTGTTAAAACCGTTATTTGCACTACAAAAAAACAGTTATATAGCGACGGAAAAATCCGTCGCAAATACAAAGGAAATCCGTCGCAATTAAGAATTTGACGGAATGCGACGGACTTATTTCCGTCGCTATAGCGTTGTCGCAAACGTATAACGGTCGTTAATCCGTCGCATTTTTGCGACGGAAGAAATCTGCATTTTGCGACGGAAAGTGGCGGATAATTCTGTCGCAAATGTTTTAAAAATTATATACTATATATACACGTACATATATACATTTTCACATACACATACACCTATATACACATACATTCATACACATACATTACACACATACATACATATATATACACATATATTTTCATATACACATACTCATATATACACAAACACACATATACACATATACACATAGATAAATACTCATACACATATACATTTCACAATACTGAGCTCATGTCTGGTATATGGATGCCGGATGTTGACATGACAAGATTCGAGCTCACTCCCGCTACTATCCAAATGTTGAGCGCCATGGCCTTCCGGGGTAGGCCAAATGAATCCTAGGACATAAGATAATAAAGACACGTGCGGACGTCTAGGGGAAAAGCTGCCAAATGAAGGAGAGGGTCCAGGGGAGAGCGAGTGAGGGCGTAAGGATGACGTACGATGCGTAAAACGACACCGCATAGTGTTCCCTCTGAAAAAGCCTGCTCTCTCCACTCTTTAGTTTAAACCCACACACTTGTTTTTCATACATATATATATATATATGCTGCATATACACAGATGTGTGTGTATCACATAGATATGTATAGAGAGAGAATCTCACTCATAAATACATGCAGATGTAAATGCATACGTATACGTATTACGTACAGATATATGTATATATATATATAGAGAGAGAGAAGGAAAGTAAAAGCCAGGGATTGGGCTTGAAGAAGGAGCCACTCTTTTGTATGGCTTCGTAAACTTCTCTCGTTTTGTCCCCTCTCTCTCTCTCTCTCTCTCTCTCTCTCTCACACACACACACATAATGACGGTCCATTAAATTTGGCATCGAATATTGATAATATTTTGGGAATGGTATATAATTAATTTAATATATATATATATAGAAGTTAATAAACACTGTTTTTAAAAAAAGAAATTGAAAAATCGTTTACATGGGTACTATTTTTCTCGAGTAATGGCAGTTCCCCAAGAACTAGAAAAAGTTGTAAAATAAAAATAAAAATAAAAAAACAGCAGATATGGCAGGGGGACATATTCTTCTCGTTCTCATGTTTTGTGACAAGTCACGAGTCTTTATTATTGCTGTCTCTCACTTTTTCCCATAATTATTTCGTATTTTTTTTAAATTGTAATAATAATTAATATCGTCTTCTTGGTCGTCGTCCGTCGTTATTTATTATAATTATTTCATATGCCTTTTGTGCGACTGTGCCATTCATTTATTGCACTTTCCTCCAACTTGCAAACTGTTCATTTCCCCTTCCTCTCTCTTTTTTTTTAACGTTTCAAGTATTGGTGGTGGGGCTTTTCTTCTTTTTTTTTCCATTTTTTTTATTCTTATTTTTCACCTGCGAAAAGATAAGGAGATTATTATTATTATTATTATTATTATTATTATTATTCCTTGTACGTTTTGCATAAATCACTCCAATTTCCAAGTCGTTGAAGTTTATTGATCACGACAATTCGAGGAAGCGTTTGAAAAAAATATGGAGGCCCTACCCTTTGAAGGTTTGGTGATAACAACAACCACAATAATAATATCCACTCGGTGCAACCGTTATTGGTTGAGATGTGACAAAGTCATCACGAGATCCTGATTCAATTTTACTAGTAGAAAAAAGGAGATGCAATTAATTACGTGATTAAAGATTAATTCAAGAGTCTTGATTCAGGGAATTAAGTAGACCAAGGACCTTGAACCTCCTAATTATAAAAACAACAACAATAATAATAACCATGATTAGAATTAGGGGTGAATTAGTGGTGGACGTTTGGTATTCAGATAAAAAATGATTCGAATCGGTTTTTTCGGTTTTACAAAAATATTTACAAATCGATTATCATATCATATTCGGTTCGTTTCGATTTTGATTCATTTCAGTCCCAATTTTTATTAAGATCGGTTCGATTTGGTTGTGAGAAACCGTAGCGAAACGTCCATTCCTAATTAGAATATATCTATTTACATTTTGGAGATTATGGGTTCTATTAACCGTTGAAGGTTCGGTTTGGTCATTCAATACAGCTGAGAATATGCTTAATGCTATATAGAATAGAAAACACTAACAAATAAGAGGCAAAAACCCTAAATATGTTTTTTTTAATGTTCTAAACTAAAGAGAAGAAAATAATTTTTATTAAAAAAAAAGTACAAAAACAGATTATCCCATTTATTTTTCATTAAATCCATCATTTTCCGTTTGGTGGATATTAAATGTACTTGATCATAGCATAACCGGACGTTGAACCCTCCATAACGGTGCAATAATGATTATCACCGTACCATTATTATTCCGATGAATAATAATAACTCAAATACTATTTTATGTTATTTATTTTTCCTCAAAGAAAAATTTAATTGGCTGTACGGGTTACATTATTGGAGGTGGAAGTGATAGGTATTGGTGTCGGAATTTCGATAGAACAGTGACGTATTGAAATGACAATATGAACAAATACCGCCAAAAAGACAAAACACAACACCAAAAAAAAAACAGTACACTTTCATTTCAAATGTATGTACATATAAGCCGTACTTCACTTCAACAGCCTACAGATTTTCTCTTTCAGTTCCTATAATCAAGGAACTTAATCAAAAGGCCTAAAGACAAAAACACATATAAAACGAAGTTTAATTTCCATTACTTAGCAGTAAAACATGAGATTCTTGACATTTTCACTAAGTTTAGGGAGAGGAATAGTCTTGGGAGGGCCAACCCTAGACGTCATCTGCATGGATCTAGAAGATTCCGAAGATCTCTCTACGTAGAGTCTCCCTCTGTAAGCAGCCAGATGGGCATAATAAGCAGGAGGCACGATGGAAACCGGTTTAGTGCACCGTACAAACGTGTAACACAAGTTATATACCAATGTCTGAAACTCGTCGGAAGTGAACTGGCTTTCGTCTCTCAGGACATGGTAATGAGTTGGTCGGCTCGTGCCCTTTACTCCCCAGTGGCTGCACAGGTAGAAATCGAATTCTTTCGGGTGAGTTATCACCGTGTCGACCACTGTTCCCGGAGGGATGTTCTCGTCCGAGGAGGAGGAGGGGGATGAGCGGTCGGGATCGAACGGGAACAGCCTCGTATGGTGCCTCTTCTGGACCACGGAGAATGTGACACGAGGATCGTAGCCGGGGAACTTCGAGCAAGCTGTCTTGATGGCTCGAAGCTCTTCTTGGAGGACTTTCTTGAACTGGTTTTCGCTCACGCCGTCCCTGAAGAATATGATCCGGCTCGGAAGCTTGTTTACTTGGCGGTAAAAATCATCAAGAATCTCTTTCACCATGAAGGCGAGATCTTGAATGATTTCTTGTCTGTGGGTCTGAGACTTCATTCTCGAGACATATCGGTTAGACGCCGGCCAGTTTATGCTTCCGACAACTGCAGCAACAGAAGGGCTGGAATCATCAAGTGGGTGGGGATGTGTCACGTCAGCGCCCATGAAGATCACGGGCTCGTCGATCCTGAGAATTCTCGGGATCTGAGAGGGGAAGGAGTTGAATAACGCGACCGTGCATCCGCCGATCTTTGTGTTTATCTTCAGAGCCAGGTTAGCGAGAAACTGAGAGTTCAGTTTCGTTATGTTCGGGTAAAGACAGCACTGCGTTACTACACCAACATTGGTCTCCGCTATACGTTTCAGATCGCCATAGCCTTTATGTTTTTTCTCCATGACGCAGATAAGAAGCTGGAGATCGTTCGATGCAGCCCTTTGAATCTCCTTGAGCTTGGATTCGAGGAAAGAAATGCTGTTCAGAAGGTGAGACGGCTCGAAAAGGGGGCTCGTTATCGTGTTCTTGCTGAGGAAGATGCCCAAGTTTTCACATTTCTGAGAAAGCTGGTTTATGAACTTGGCAATGGCGAATCTCCGATCTTGATTATTGCTTCCGAAGCTTATCAACGCCCATCTCTCTATCTGGGTTCCTTCGAAAACTTGACTTTCTAGAAGGTTCCATTGCCGGTCATGACGGGTGGGAGTCACGTCTTTAACGAGCCCTCTTCCACCGAGCTTAAGCTTCGGAGGCTTAAGGATTCTCCCCTTTAGCAATGTCATTTCTCTCGAAACCTTCAGCTCGAATTCTCTCGCTTGGTTTCCTCTGTCAAACCAAAGAACAGAAACATTAGCCACATCAATGAACCAGAAACAAGAAACGTTCTCGCAGAATCTCGAACTTCTAACTTACCTCGATGGACCGATCTGTCCAGCCATAACCCCGTCTATGATCGATCTCCGTTCCATAGGCCTTAAACAACCCATCTTGAGAATCTTCGCGGTTTGGTCATCTGAAAGCTTTCCCAGAAATTTCTGGCCTTCACATATCATACAGAGCTCCATAGGAAGGTAACATGGTCTGTTCCTACTGATCTGCAGACAAGGCAAGTTCCTAAACTGAATGTCATAGTTATAGTGATCTTTGAAGTAGCTTATCAGTCTTAGATTGTTTCCACCTCTGTCGGGAAACCACAGATTCTCGGTGATCTTATCCGTTAAGGCGTAAACCCGGTACCTTTGGACAGTTTCTCTATGGCAAACAAATACCCTTATGTTCTTCAAGGCCTTTGCCACTTCTTTCCTTTCCTCCGCACTCAGCTCTCTCGCCTTGTTCATGTGAATGTCCTTTAGAAACTCCAGACGTTTCTGCAAGTAAGGAATCACTCCGATGCTCTCGTGAAAGGCGGTAATGGAGAAATCGACGTTAAGGGCTAGCCCTTGTTGCGTCGGTCTAAGACTCTGGAAAAATCCTCTCAGTCCAACAGCTCCTCCTCCAATCTCCCTCATGCCTCCCATTGAACTCGAATAGAACGAGCTCCCGACCGAAACACTCTTCTCTGTCGGGTTTTCCCTCAAAATAACATCAAGGGCATGGATATATTCTTGAGGAAAAGGAACCGAATCCTCACCTTCCTTTGTCAGAAAGCTATTCATTTCCTTTCCATCAAACTGTGACACAAGTCTCATGCAAACCCGGAAGAGTTTATCGATCTTTACGGGTTGCTTCTCTCCCAAGCCACTCGAGGGCATTACCGTCCTGCTAGATGGGACGGGGAGATTAACAAAGAACTCAAGCCTGTCGTTCTGGAACTCAACTGGACTGTAGATGTTCTTCCGACCATCAAAAGCCGGAACAGAACCCGAGAAGCTGCTCGGGTTCGCCTCCACGAGCTTCCTTTTGATCATCCGAGCGATTTCTTTCGAAGAAGGGCGGGGAGAAATCTCGACATCGTAGTGGTAAATCCTCTGAGAAGGCTGGAACTTGACAAGGAAATGGTTGGCGAGAAGATAAACGACAGAACCTTCTTTGCCGCCAGAGTCTGGTCTGTTAGCGACCACCAATGTCTCTTCACTGGAACTCATCACTTTCCTTCCACTTCCATCGACGGCTTCAGGACGAGAAACACGGCTTTCCCGGTGGTTATTCTCCACAACTGTTGACAGATACGGCAAAGAGCAAAAGGGCAAGTAAGTAATAAAGTCACCGACTTTTTTTTTTTAATTTCAAACTCCTAAAAGATGCAACTGAATCAGTACCAATAGAATAATTAAATTCATATTATCAGACCCACCAAATTATGCAGACCTTCTTCTGAATTCATTTAAAGAAACTGAGCAAAAAAAAAAAGATAAACTCTTCTTCTACAGCAGATGACAGTGGAATTACACTGTTCAAAGCATCGGAAAACTGTGTAGAAAGAGACAAAACAAGAGACTATTCACTCTTTACACATAGGGGAAGAATCTTGGTTCTGAGAATATCTTGTCACGCATGCAATAGAAACATGATAACAGAGACAAAACACCAATGAACGGCCAGAGACAAGAACGGGCAATGATCCAAGATTAGAAAGAAAGGCGAAATCTTGCGGCGAAAAAACGAATCTCACCAGGATGAACAGAGGAATCCGCCAAGTGGGTATCGGAGGAAGCGGAAAAGGGTTTCTGAAAACGGGGCTTTGACGAGAATATACTCTGTGGAAGGGGAAGAGGGAGCAATGGAGGAGGGAGAGGGAGAAAAGGGTGGTAGTAGTAATAGTAGTAGCTATTGAGGAAGTGATGGCTCTGAGTGGAACTGGAGACGACAAGGTTAAGATTCTGGTCGGAATATTGAAAGAGATGGCTCGTGTGATCGTCGTGCTCCGGTTTTCGGAGCTGTCTTCTGGTCTTGGCCCTTGTCGAGGAACTGGAGTTGTTTGTTTTTCTCTGCGATTCTTCTTCCATGGATGAGGAAAAAAAAAAAAGGAGATAACTTTGAGCAAGCAGAGGAAGAGGAAGGGTCTGTGGAGATATAAGAGAGAGAGAGAGAGAGAGAGAGAGAGAGAGAGAGAGTTTTTGTTGTGCAGGAGAGGGATGAGGCAAGAGGTTTTACAGAGGCAGAAAGGGGTGTCTGGATTTGCTCAGTGAAAGGTCAAAGTCCCTTATTGAGTTATTTTTCATCCCTAAAAAAAAAAGAAAATGATATATAAAAAACATGTAGGCATATACATATACATGAACGTGTGACTGTGTGTATGATAGCTCATATATACAAGCCTCTGTGTGTGTGTGTGTGTGACTAATATATATTTTGGTTTGAAGATTTTTACTTTCTTTTTCTATTTTGAATTGTCATTTACCCTTTAGAAGACAAAATAAGGAAAAAGAAAGAAAATGATATATATATATATATACATGTATATATGTATGTATATACATAATTACATATACATGGATGTATGTGCATGATAGCTCACATATACAAACATCTTGATGTCATGTTTGAAGATTTCCCATTTCCCCCTTTTTTTGGTTCTATTTTGACTGTCATTAATCTTTTTTAGAGGACAAAATAATTGTATTTTATTGATTATATAAAAAATGAAAATAAAAGGATTCGTTTAGACAAATATTCACATGTACGGAAGAAGAGTATTGAGTTGTAAGATGAAATGTCAAAAGGGAGAGAGATGTTTAGATGAGTGTGAAGAGCTGATACAGTAAATCTCTTTGTGAGAACATTGACCATCTGTCTACCACATGAAAGCCTACCACTTTCACTTTGTTTTTCGTTTCCTATGCACGTTTATAAAAAAAAAATTATTTAAATAAATATACGAATTTTAAATTTTTTTCTTAATTTATATATTAAAAACTATTTCTTTTTAAAAAATTTCCAAAAAACCACATCATAATAATACTTGGAAATCGTTTAAAAGTTTAGCATTGAATTTCATGACTGTTTTTAGAAATAACTAATAAATTTATGATTTATTTTAATTCTTTTTAAAAGGATAAAAGTTTAATATAGAAATTAAAAAGAGTTTATATATTTATTTGAGAATTTTGAAATTGATGTATTTATTTGGAACTTTTGTATAAATTTTTATATTAATACGTGATTTTCTTTTTGATTAAATTTGTATATATATATATATATATATTTATATACACTTTAATTTTTTTTCTTAATTTGTTGTTGTTTTAGAAAATACCGAAATCTTACGTGGCTACTTATACAGTAATATGGGTCAAGATGTCGCAGATTAGACAAATGTGATTAACTTATTTTTCATAATTACCAACCAAGATTATTTAATTATTTAATTAACGGCGGAAGCTTAACTAAATAACGTAAATGTTTATCATGTTTTAGAGAAAATATAATTATAAAAAAAAAAAGTGTTTTAGAGAAAATATTGCTTAATTTATTATATATTATGTATTTTCATTTTGTATATTATGTATACGCACACGTATTACATGCAGTATACCGAGGGGAGAAGGGAAATAATAAAAGTATTTTTTTTTCCTCTAGAAACTGAATTTGACCTAATCTAAATCTACCGTATTAACTGCTGACAGAGAACAATATGTTTTTAATTCAGATATATTCCCCCAATGTTTTTAATTTTCCTTTTTCGTTGGGCCCCACGTTCACAGAGGAACCATATAAAAAGAAATTATTTATTGAAAAGATCAATCAATTATATGCAACCCAACAAATCCGAATTAAAATGTCGTATTAATAATGGTACGTAGTTTTTTTTTCTTCCTTGTTATTAATATTTCAAACACAAAATAATTGGAGGACCCTTTTGTCATGTTTCGAATTCCCTTCATGTCGACGGAATTTTCCGTGATAAAAACATCGATCTATACATAATATATCACATCAAAATAGGCGGCTAATGTTTTTTCAATAATTATCGATTGATATGTTTAATTATCTTAATTTTAAAAAATATATATTCCAAATTTCTGATATTTTTGTTTTTATCCACATGTTTTCTTTTTGTAAAATATCAACAAATATTAGCCCATTCACTCTATTCCTGCATATGTGTGTGTGTGTGTATATATATATATATATACATTAGAAAGGATATTTGATCAATCGAAGACTAAATGATTATTGGACCAAAAGATTTGGTCAAAGCAAAAGGATCAAAAGGAGCATTCTTTTTCGGATAAAAACTCTCACATTTATTTATTTTATTTATCCAAATAGGAAGCCTATTCTCACGTAGTTTAATTTTATTTTTTATATTATATAGTTTCATATTCGCCTTTGCCTCATCTTTTCTAAGCATTATTAGTGGGGATGGTGGTGGGTGCTCCATGACCACAAAACCTTATTTTATATACATATATTCTTAAATTTTATTTTATTTTCTATATATATTTATGGGAATGTGGTGATGTAGACGGGGCAATATGATTAACGTGGAGCCTAATGGAATAATTTAGTAATTAATTTATTATAAATATTTTTTTTTCCCGCAAGACATAAGCAAAACCCCACCCACTTCCTCTGTTTTCTCAATCTGATATTTGAGCCAAAAGCACAAAGAAATGGACAAATATTAAATAATAGCGTGAACCCTAAGATGAAAGGGTCGGTCCAATAATCTTAATCAAAATATCACATGACCCTTTATCTTCATTACATAATTTGATTTTATTTAGACGATGCCCTAAAAGGATGACGTGGATTTCACAGAAGCCGTGACTATTCGGCAAAGACGGAATCTTTAGTGCAATAGTGCTTAGGATTTCGCGTAGGCATCTGCAATCTAGGATATATATATATATGTATAATTATTTAATAAATAAGGAAAAAAATGTTTTTATATTATTATTTATTTACGATGAACACCTGCTGTCACGGTCGCTTGTCCATTTTCACCCGATATTGTAACCGAAGGATGCTACGAAAATAAGAGGCAGGCAAGATACGAGAATGATTTGTTCGGACCAAAGCGAGGACATAATTATTGCATCGTGAATATGTTACAAATTTTTAACCAAAATGGGATTAAAAATTAATACCGTAATTAGCTAATATAATAACATATTAATTACCCCAGATAAAGCCCCAACCAGCTTTTTCTCTTCCCCCCCTTTTTTTTAATCTCGATCTGTTTGGTCCACATACATGGTCACACAACTTCGAATGCCAATTGCTGACATATATATGACGCAATAAAAAAAAGCACACACATATATATGTGTGTGTATATATATACATGTATCTGCCTATATGATACAAAAAGAAAGTGACATGGGACAGAACATGAAAAATATTTTTTTTTGACGAATCGCATAATAATACACAAAATTTTAAAAATTATATCAAATAAATATACAAACTTTAAAATTCTCAAATCAATAGACAAACTCTTCCAAAATTCTATATTAATCTCCGGACTTTTTAAAATTAATAAAACTAAATTATAATCTTTTAAACTATTACTAAAAATCGCTATAAAATTAAATCATAAGATGGTGGTTTTGAAAAACCGTTTAAAAATTCAGATTTTAATATAGAATTGAGAAGAGTTCTTTTTTTTTTTTGAAAATTTTAAATTCGTATATTTATCTTGTATTTTTTTTACAAGTTTGTGTATTAATATTATGATATTACCATTTTTTTAACATGGGGATCAAATCAAACCTGGGGAGAAGACAGAAGAGGGCTTGTGAGGCTGTTCCTGTCTGGTGAGAACTGAAATGGCAACAATGCCGGATCTTGATACGCAGTTACAAGCTTGCTGTAGAACTCAGACATATTCGGATCATTTCGATCTTCTCTGTCTCTCTTCGTCAGAACCTGTAAAAAAAACAGGAAGAGAGACTCAACGAGTTGACTCAGTGAAGATAAAACCGAGTTCCGATCCCGAAAAACGTTTACCTCGGCAGGGAATGAAAAGAATACGGGCATGAAACGTTTACGGCAGTATTCGTTGAAGAGAAGAGTGAGCAATGGAAGAGGCATAAGCAAATACGTAGCTAACTCCATCTTCTTCATCGCAAATACGCCGATCCCGATAGCGTGCATAAGCACGAGCGAAAATATCATCGTATAATGCACGATCGGCCAAAACTTCCCCGCTGTCTCGTACTTTGGACCGTACACATTCATGAACTGCGTCAAGAAATCGGAATCCGAAGGCGGGTGAATGAAAATTCATCGATCGAAAAAAGGGTTAGAAAGATTTTCTGATGTTACCTGGTTTCGGTAGATAATGAAGGCTAGACAAAGGTAGACTAAGAGGAAGGGTAATATAACCGGAGCTAAGAAGAAGTACGTGATCCCGAGAAGCCCGAAGAAGAGAACTCTCGGGGTATCTCTGTGGTATTGCATCGACGGGATCTCGAGCTCGTATTCATCCGTTGGTTCGAATGATCGTTTTACGTAACTGCAGATGAACGGGAAAACCCGGAAAAGCTCCGAAAGAATGCTCGTCCATCCTGTTGTGACGACATACGCGATAAAGAACGACGCCTGCAAAAAAGAAGACGTGAAATTCGATAAAGTGTTTCAGGGTTTGAATAACGTGTGGTGGGGGAAAAAGGGTACGAAACCTGAGCAGGAACAGCGACGGCTAGCTTTGTTATGATATCTTTCGGGTCGAGGAAAACGGAAATCTGGTGAAAGGCCGACCCGGAAAAGACGGTCGCGAAAAAAACGTTCCAAACCATGAACCATATGACCTTATTGCAAGCACTTTTCTGAATATCGCTATGGCAGATGTGACCTTGGATCGAAGAAAGGAACTCCATAACAGGAGGAACCACTTTCAGAGACATCTGAAGAATGAGACTTGGGAGATACCCAGTAACTATTTGGCTCACAAATTTTCTGCACAGATAGAGAAAGAAATATGTAAATGTTTTCAGAACATCGAAAACTATATCGATATACCCGACAAGATTTACGGGGACAGCAACTTTAACTTACATCGTCAGAAACAGTTTCAAGAACGGGAAGAAATATTCGAGTGCAGTTAAGTTGGTGAGGCCTTGGACGACGACGACCGGGATGAGAAACAAGACCGTTAGAAGGATAAATGTGACCACGATCACGATCTTCGACAGCCATTTCTGCATAAACGACGCGGAAATGAATGGCCAGTGAACGTCGTGAGGCTCGGGAGCCGGTTCTGTGAGCCAATACGTCGGGTTTATCGACTGTGGCATGTGGAGTGCCATTGCAGCACCATACCGAGACTTGAACGACACAAAAGCAGCCCGAACTTCCTTCAAAATTCGAGAATGAAGATGGTTAAGGAGAACGGGCGATCATGATTTTCCCGGTTGTAGGTTTATATATACGAATCTTGAAGCGAAATAAAAAAAAGGGACGTACTTTTCCGGGAGATGTAACTTCCGCTTGACCCATTCGTACGTTCTGCTCCAAGTCTAGTAACTTTTTCTCGTACTGATCTGCAACTGTATCATTCTTGTTCTTGCCCCGACGGGCATTCGACTTCACATGTTTCTGTCTTTTATATAGTTTTTTGGCTTGACCCTGAAAGAATCAGAATTCAGAATCAGAGGAACCGAAAAGAGATATAAGCACGTAATATTGGGAAATCTATGTGTATACAAACAGAGAAAATGGCGTCGAGACAGAACTCAAATGTGTGTTAGTTAGTTCGGGACATACGATGATGCTCTGTAATTTACTTGTCCGACGGATAATGACGTGAGAATGATACGTAGAGGGATGATTCTCTCTGAAGAATCTATCAACAGTATCACTCAGGGTGTTCCCAGCTGAAGCCGGGATATTACGAACTAATATTGTGAATTGTTGCGGCTGAGGTCTGGACAAGCCGAAATGCTCGATTCTTTTCAGAGAAATGTATCTGAATTCCTGTAAAAAAGGAAGAGAAAAGTCATAGCCGACGGTAAAAACTCGAAAACCGCAGTAGAAAACGCGTTCTTTCTTACATAGTACAGAAGGCAGCAGACAAATGCAGTCACTATATATATAGCACCAAAGTGAAACCATAACCTGCAAGAAACTTAAATGAGCTTTTGTCCGAGAATAGAGCGGTAACTTGAAAGAAACCTAATTACTTCCTCGGAAAATGGCTCTTGCCCTTGTTCCAAATAGTTTCCGTCAACCGAAATTTAGAAACTTTATCCACAACATAAAACGATTTATTACTCTAAGACAGAGCTTTTTACAGATACAGAGAAATGTCATAACCCAAAAAGAGAGATGAAAATGCCTTGAAATAGACCCTATATCATATACTAAACTAGATTCTTAGTGATAAAGATTGAAAATTACCTCGGTGAACCGCTTTTGATATTCGAAATGGAAAACAGATCCAAGGAATTGTTTGACCAATCGATGAAATCGATCTCGTGAAGTTGGTCTCCAGAGCAATTCACAGGCAATAGAACAAAAACCCCTATGATCCCAGCAAACAAGAACACCTTCAAACTGCAGATAATAAGAAAATATAATAACAAAAATCTAGATCATAAGGTTATCCATATAAAGGCGAAAACCCGGATTAAAAGATGAAAAATTTCACGGTATGCAAGAGTTGGAGTGACCTGAAAGTTATCATACGCATAAACACAACGCCATCGAGGCCCGAGGATTCAAGAAGTTCGCTTTCCGATAGTCTCCAAGCTTTTGAGATCCAACGAACAGAAGGCATATATCTTGCCAGTTTCGAACGTCGGTTTTTCGATGTTCCAGCAGCGAGCCGACGAGGCAGAAAGACTTCGTAATTGTCCGGTTGCTTCCTCAGTATAGAGTAGAGTATGAAGAACAATACACAGAGTGTAGAGTTGATTCCAACGGACATAAGAAGTGCAGACACAAGCATCTTGCAGGACAACCCTCAGGAACTATAACACAAGAACTCGAATCAGAAAAGCCGGAAAAAAACCAAAAATGCCAAGATTTCAACCATTATTCAAAGGAGAAAACCCCTAAAAATGTTCATATGTTCAAGCTCATGGCCCAAATAAACTGAAACTATGAGCTCTCGAGCTTGTGCCCACTGTTAAAATGAAGCTAAGAACTCGAACTCAACCAGACAAGGTTGTGATTTCACTAAGACAGAACTGTTAACGAGAATAGTTAGCTGCATACAATTTCAAAACTCAGTTTCTATCTATTCCAACGCAGAAAAAAAATCACAAAGCCTGAATCCTTGAACTGAAAGAAAGCCAATTTCTCGACGTGTTTCGACTAATAAAAAAAAAATCTAAAATGTCAGCGTTAATGGAGCTTAACTTGTCTTTTTTCAAGCTTTGACCACTAACCTAATAAACATGGCTATGAAACTATGAATCGCCAAATAAATTCGGACAGAGCTCTCAATTCGAGTGATTTCAAGCTTTTTTATTGCAAACCCAACAAAAAACAAACCTGCGAAACTAAGAATTCGGACAGTCGCGGACTCGCAGCACAAAATCAGAACTGCGGAAAAAAATATTTCAAGTGCAAGTCTCTGCTGTCGGATTGATGGAATCGAGACGCAGAATCAGAACTAAGAAATCAACGACCTACGATTTAAAAAGAAAAAACAGGGCTCTTTCGGTAATCGAGCAAGACGAAGCATCAAACCTGATCATCAACGAGGGCAAAACCCAGACACGGAAGCTCGAATTTTTGCTCGTTTTCGATCGGACAAAAAAAACCCACCACGGATCAAACAGAGATAAGAACAAAAAAAATCCCAAAATCGGATTTTCCTTAACCTGGTGTTTGCGAAGAACGAAAATGCAGAGAGGATGAGAAGAAGACGAAGAAGAAGAAGAAGAAGCAAGTGACGTGAAGATTTTTTCCAATTAAAAATCGACAGTCAGAGAGCCACGAACCTTAACCGATACATCATATCTTAATCTTCCCCGCTTCGCGTTCTCATTTCGTTCCATTTGATTTACCGAAACTACCCTTGGGAGTGCCGATGGGGTATTTCTCTGCGTTTGTTGCCCTCTGAGGGTAGTTACGTAACTTCAACCATGACCGGTTTCCTGAAGAATCAACGGTTTAGCCAGACCGGTCGGTGAGCGTCCCGGTCAACGAACCGTTGCAATTAAACCGTGGTCAAATGTTTTATCTTAGCAATCTTATGACGAGGTTAGTTAGCCTTGTGAATTTCACGACAAATATAATTCGACTGTACGATGATGATGATGTACGCCTCCACAATCAATCATAAATCATCCATATTTTAATAATGATAATTATTTTCCAGAGTTTGAAATAAAATCACCAGAATTTTGTATTATTTAATACAATACTCGAATTAGATATATTTCACAATCTGCTTCAAAAGAAATCCAATCAATGATTCTTTGACTCACTAAATATATTCTGAGAAATGCATTTGCTTTTTCTGCAAATTCAGTGATCGTCTCTCTTTCAAGAAATGCTGCATCTTATGTTCTTGTCTCAGCCAATACAACACACGTCTACCTTCACTGCATCCAACAATGGCGGAAATGCCACGTATTGTTCTCATAGATCTGCAAATTGTCATTTGGGTACGATCAATCCATCTAAAAGTCAAAGACTTTGACCTCATCAAAGATCAATCAGACCAGTTCAACAAGAAGGGCACAAAAAGATCTTTCTTTCTCTCTCTCTCTCTCTCTCTCTCTGCTGTCTGAAAACTGCAAAAGGGCAAATAAAAAAAACACAACTCCATAGTTTCAATTTCCGGTTCTCAAAGTACATGCCCGTTTTGGATCTAATGTACACTCCCCTCTCCCCAAGGAAATGGAGATGTCACTTGGGGTTTGGGGAAATAAAGACGTGGGTTTTTAACAGTCTTAGATGACTTTCTTCTTCTCGAAAAACGTCTTCAAATGCCAAAACTGCATCCCGGCCACTCCCAAGCAGACGAAGAGCGAAAGGAAACTGAGCCAAGCCATTTTCGTGTTGGTGGATCGGTTCAGGTCTTGCATCTCTTCCTCCCTGAAATGTTCAACAGGTCATGTTATGAACAATGGATATAGAGCTCCATGATAATACCATATAACACGATGGGACCGGTAGTTTCCCTTACCTTTCTCTAAGATAAAACATCTCTTCATGAATGGAGTTGACAGTTTCAAGCAGTTTCTTCACCTCAAATTCCATGACCTGAACAATACAGAAGCGTAAGTGCCTACCCAGTTCTATCCGAAAACAGACAATCATATTCCGTTATCAATCCTCTCCCTATTCATGGTCTAGACTCTATAGTTCTTCAGCCTTTGTAAACAATTCATATCATTACTAATCACTCTGAAATTAGATCTATCCCTATCTCTCTTCATCTTCCTCTCTTTCCCAACCGAAGCATATATCGGCCTACACAAACAGAAAGATTTGCGCTTTTGGACAATTTCATTCTCAGATTTGATCAGTCAACATCCATAAACCCAAATCTGACAGCCAGAAAAATCACAGGGCCTAGATTAAAAGGAAGCTCAGATGCGTATAACAAGGCAAAACCCATGATGAGTTGTGATTATGATGGAAATATCATCCACGGGAAGAGGAGAGGGAAATGTTTTAAAAAAAAACTCACTTCGACTTGGCTCTTCTTGGCGACATTAGCCCAGTTCTTGGCTTGAATGCCGGTCCTCCAATCAAAATCAACGCTGAGAGTCACCTCAGGCTTGTGATCGACGGCGGAGAAGCACGCCATGTAATCCCCTGCCTCCACCGCCGTGAAAGCGAACTGCCCAGATTCCACTTGCTCCCCGTGGTGGTACGTGTTCCCGTAGCTCGACGTTACCTATACACACACTTGCACATATACGTATATAATTCCCCCAAAAATAAAAACTTCGACAAAAAAAAAATCCAAAAAGAAGCGAGAGAGAACAGAACGGAGGCACGTACCCTGACCGAGACCTTGTGAGACGGGGGCAAAGGGTGGCCTTCGTTAGGGTTAACGACGGCGTATTTACCGACAGTCATGGAATTGCTCTTGATGTCCTCGGCGATACACTTTGTCCGACCCGATTGCAGATCGAAGTGCAACGAGTGAGAAAACCGCGACATCATTCCCAAAACCACCAGAACCGTCCACAGTTTCTCCGATCTGAGAACCATCGTGAAATTCAGATGAACGGAGAGAGGGGGTGGAGAGAGAGAGAGATCTTCGTATCTTTCCCTTCTACGATCGTTGAAGAGAGAGAGGGGGAGGAAAGGGGAAAACGTAAAGGGTAATTTCCGACACGTGTCTATGTATAATTGGCTAAGACACGTCGACGAGTACTCGGACCTTCTCTCTGCCTCAGAGGTATCAATGTACCATCCCTTAATTGAACTCAATGGAAGATCGGCCCTTCTGGAATGGGCCGTGGATTTACTAATTATGGAGTATTTTCTTTTATGTTTTTTTTTTGTTTTAAACTATTCCTATATTGATGCCTACTAAAAAAAAAACCCATCAATATTCGCCTTTCTAATTTCGATGGCACTGAAACGACGACCATTGATTAACAAAGATGGTCTTGTAAAATGTTTTTGGTAAGATTCTGACGTTGCCAAGAAACATAAACGAACATCCATTCTCGACATGTCATTTTCATAGATCTGCAAACTCTACTTTAAAAAAAAAAGATTGATCTATTCCCATATCAGAATTTTGAATTCCCAAAATTCTGATTTAGGAATAGATCAATCCTTTATACCAGTGTTTCACTGTTTAGTGCGTTGATCTAATGATGAACAATTATTAATCTATGTATAAAGTTTAAAGGCGGTTCATAGTTGAACTGTCGTTCAGAATATTTATCTCGAAAAAAAATACTCTATTCGTCTTTATCAGTTGCGTCATCATAGTAATCGAAGGGATGTGGAACTGACTTGAAGGCTCTGTACTTTCCCACGTTGTTCAAGTGCTCGTTCTCCAATCTGACCCATCAACAATCTCCATTACAGCGTTATACGTGTGTGTGTGTATTATGCATTGGAATAGATATACAAAGAGTGGGGGGTATATATATATAATACCTGAAGAAACTCCAAATGCCACGGCGAACAATCTCTAAGCATGAAATGACTGTCGACATCCCCATCTTCTCCTCGAGCGGCCTCATGTTGAACTCCAGCATCAGCTGCATCCATGTTATCCTTAGAATCACATTCACCACCTGCTTTCACACACACATACATACACACATGTAAACGTAACATACATACAGGGGAGGGATCTTGGTGTATGTATGTGTGTATATATTACAATGGCTATGAAATAGACAATCTTGTGAGGGACCATGAGCTTGTCCCTTAGGTAAGCGTTCTTCGAATGCCTTCGGAGGAGCCCCCAGTCTAACACTATGTCCCAGAACAAGTTCATTGCCGTTGCCACTCCCGTGCTTATCAGTGCCAACATCATCCACGTTCCCCCCTTCTTCAGCTCAAATGCCGTCCTTATTAACACCGCCACTATCGTCAACATGTACTTCAACGCGTTGTATCCGTGTATCCATTCTTTCTCTTCGCATAGCCTGCGTATGCACTGCAAAATTTCCATGGAGATTACCTTTAAGATTTTTTTTTTCTGGTTCAGAGCTTTCCCGAATGGCGAAAAATGGAATGATGCGACGAGACCTGAAGAAAGCGGAGCCAGTGCGGTATAACAGCAACGACAAAGTAGAATAGGTTATAAACGCCGTGCTTATGGCACTTGTTTTGCCTCTTCAAGTATCCTCCTAGTCCGTAGTAGCAAATGAATAGCTCAAAACTCCTTATTGCCAGTACCTGCGCGGATTTTGAGTCAGCCATTGTAAATCTGGTTTCAACCAAATTATAAAGTTAAAGATCGCAGAACCTGACTGGTTAGGTGGTCGGCCAAGAAAAAATCTGGAAGTGTAACCTGCGAGGGATGAACATAAATATCGGATCTTCTGCTGTCTTAGTTAGATGAACACAAGGAGTTTAACAAAACGTACCTTGTAAAGAGGGGCGCAAATGCAGCGAAATAGAGAATGAATGAAGAATAATCGACTTGAACGATACACTATGTTGAGAGGACAAAAAAGTATGACAAGAACAATCTGCAAAAAAAAGGTTGGATTGTTTAAGCATTGACAATATATATATATATATATATATATATATATATATATATATGTGTATGGAAAGTCCAAGAATCTTACAGCAACCAAACCCAAAGGGATAGCTTCAGAAAGGGTCTTGCGGTCTTTTATCATCCAGGCAGTATCAAGCTGCAAATTTACAAGAAAACAGACCAAGGCAAGCACTGCAAGACCAGTGCCAACTAGGAACACTTCTCTGTAACCCATTTCTGTCCCCTGCTTGAATCCAAAGATGAAGGCATAGTTCACTCGATAACGTCTCCAGAAGTATATATTCGCTGCGTACGTCAGCATATGCAGAATGACATATCCAAATAGGCTGCAGGACAGTAATATTTTCTTTCAAGTGAGAGACAAAGATTGGTAATATGTACACACATATTTAAAGAACAGAATAATTGCCTGTAAAGGGGGATAATGTTGGCCATGTAAACGGGACCGTGGTCCTTGTCTAACATCTTTATATTCTCTATCTTGAAAACAACAGCTATAACTAGCACAACCGAGCAACCAGAAAAGAAACCTGTGGAACAGAGAGAAAAGGAGTTAGCCATCCATCAACTTCCTTATAAAATCACTGCATTCTTGACTCCAAGGTTTCCTTACCGGAAAAGAATGTGACTCTGTGCCTTTCTCTTTTGATTTTTGGCCTTAGATACTTCATACCTTCTCTTCGATCAGCGTTTGAAAAGTGCCTGACAAAAGTAACCTCTACTCTTTCCATGAATCTGGTTACCTAAACCAGGGCAAAGTGAATAGCCAAGTATATACAAAAAAAAAAAAGGATCCACAACAGAAGAAGTCTATACAGACCTCATCCGAGCTCCCAAGAAACGAATTATCCACTATTTTCATATAATCCAGGGACGCTTTCCTTGATGCTATCTGCAGAATGAGCAGGAGAATCCATACATCAGGCATGTCAGTTTCTCGTGCATAACTTTTCTCTGAACAAGGCTGTATGATATGTATAAAGCACTTCATATCTAACCTTCTCATACTTTTTCATGATCTTTGAACATGCCAGGAGATTGATGAAACTTGTTCACAAATCAGCAGAATCACAAACACCATATCAGTTTTAACGGTTAATAACATAATTGCTCAGAAAATAGAGACTTTTTACAGGACCTCATCCTCACCTAAATTCCTTCAGATGACGTAGTTTCTTATAGAATTCGATAAAGACGAGCCTCAATTGTACCTCTGCCTTTCTTAGTACTTTCTTGAAACTTGGTTCATCATTTTTAGAATCCCCAAAAACCCCTCTTAAGGAAGGGATACGAGATTCAAGAGAGTTTTTTATCCTCACACGCTCGAGTATTTCAAGGAGATCCTGATTGCCACCCATACCATTTCCCCTTTCATTAGCATCATTATGAGAAACGGGGACAATTTCGTTCCCGATTTGAAGGGCTTCTATCTCAGAAATACCAGTTCTGTCAACATCATGTGCCATCTCTGTATTTTCACTGCCTGCATATATACCATGATGTCAAGAATTTCAATAACAGGAACCCAACTAAGCATAGTCTGCTTTCTGGTCTCGTGTTATTTTCTTACCTGGGTTTCTCGATGCGCTCTCAGGCATAACCGTTGCGTCGCTATCAGACGGATGTTTCTCCAGTTTCAAGTTTTTGATGCCATGATCTTGCACCTTGATTCTCATCGCAATCAGTGCGTCCATCTGCTTATCTAGCAAAGCTGCCTCGCGCACCACTTCGTCCACCTTATCCTGATAAAATCTTTCAACTTTGTTCAGCTCCTCATCGAGTTTTCTGAAGAAAGTTTCTTCGATTTCCCCTCCTTCTTCATATCTCCTTAGAAAGTTTGTCCTATAAAGATTCCTCGAGTCATCTTGCCGCACTATGTCAACTCTAATCACTTGGTCCTCGATGTCCCCTGCAGTCTCAGCTCGCCTAGGGTGACAAGACAAGCCACTGAAGGACCGGTGAAGCGCTCTCTGCTGCAATGCTCTGGAGGACGTTCTAGGCTGCCTACTCTTCTTGTATTTCAATATTTCTCGAAGAATTCTCTTCAAGCCATTGTAATCAATGTAGGCTTCTACCCATTCCGGGACCATTTGCCTCTTGAATAGTTTTGCAAACTTCATCTTCTTCAATTCACTTCAGCTGATACACACTATGCATTAATGTCTCCTGAGGAGTACACACGTTCACAAGGACTCCTGAGAAAATCACAAACGAGAGAGAATTCATCATGGTTCAAATAATAATTTGAATCTTTTGGATCACCACATTGTAGTACAATGCCCGTCTTAGATTCATTCTATCGAGTTCAGGTTGTGGATCGCAATTTGGTCATGAAACAGCGAACACTAGGCTTACGAGAAACAGAGATCAGAGATCAATAAACGGACAATAAAGGCATAATCTCAGAAGCAAATTACTGCCCCGGAGAACCACGGTCCATTCCCCTAAGAACAGCCGAAAGCCTCAACAGTAGAAACTAGGGTTCTGAGATGGGAATTGACAACGAATGGCTCGATGTTTCTCGCCACGCAGATCGAGAACGGGATTTGGAAAGTGAATAGATACCTTGCCAAGGAAGAAAACACAGAAGAGGCTTTGACAGAGCTACTCGATAGAATCGTCGTGGAGTTTCTCTGCAACTTTTAGTCACGCCATGACGTTGTAGAAGAAGGAGGAGGAGAAGCGAAAATGATTTAACATGAAACGCATCTCTCTGTCGCTCGCCCTGTTCTCTAGCGGAGAGAGTGATGCAGGAGTTCGTTACGTCATGTGATCGTCTGCGGCCGAGAACACATTTCGAAGATGCGATCATTCATTATTGTCCGTTGGATGTAACGCATGGCCGAGATCATGACACGTGTTACTCCTTTAAGTTCGTGTGGCACAATGGCACTTCCCAAATTCGACGTTTTGTACCGATCTATTTGAAAAATCTCCTTTTGGTTAATATTATTATTAATATTAACAGGGGCAATTTAGTTAATAACCGAAATAACACATTTACCGCAATCGAATCAAAATTATATAAAAACGAATGGCTATTTCTCTAAAATCGAGAAAACCAAATCTGAACGGAATAAAACATAAATTTCTTTGAAAAATAACCACGAACTCAAACCAAATAGTTATAGTTTTTCTAAAATCAAGATAACCGAACCAAACCTAAACCAGAATCCAAATAAACCACACCCTATTTAATATACACATATTTGATAATTAGTTATATGGCAAACTCATTGTTGAATCTAATTTAAAGTGCCCATATTTTATATGGGAATAGAGATTTTGCATCAAAGAGAATTGCTAAAAGTGAAAGTATTTATATGATGGTGAGAAAATCAAAAGCATTAAAAAAAAACAAAGTCTGGTATATGGATAGCAAGAAGCTTTTTTATCTCTTTGGAACTAATAAAGGATGAATCATATGAAAAGGCTTTGATCAGTTTCCCACATTGTTTTGGCCATCAGAGCCTCCCCTGTCACCGCTGCAGCAGTAGAAATGCGGAAGCTTCACTCGCCCGCAACCCCTGTAATAACAAACAATAACAGCTCCTTGATTCAAAGTTTATTTGGGGTCGGCCGGATAAATTCTTTTTCTCCATTCATTTCGATTTTATACTATGTCTTCCGAAATTTATGAACATTGCAAAAATCATGAAAGATCTACTCATATCACTCTTTTACTTCTATGTTCTCTTCTTCTAGCCAGGACGTCTATCGGGTTACGTTTCACATGGCAAAACTAGTTTAGACGCTCCTCTTGTAATTTCTCTTCTACACATGATTGGAATCCAGACAAAGAAAAATTTCTTCGGAGTGAACTGATGAACCCAAGAGGGTCACGTGGAGTAGGGGTGTCAAACGAGCATGTTGGGTTCATTTGGCTCGGATCGTTTTGAGCTCAGCTCGTTAGGCTCGTTCCTAACGAGCCAGAAAAATTTCGGCTCAGATCACTCGCCAGTTTTCCGATCTGAACGAGCCAACTCGTTGAGCCAATGATATATAATATTTTTTATTTATATTTATTCCAAATTTAACAATAAATTTAAATAAATACATAAAAAATTACTAAAACTCTAATATCATAAACTACATAAAAAAAAGTATTGGTTGAGATTTCAAAAGATTAAAAAAAATAATCTAATAATAGTTCAATAAAAAAATAATTTAAATAGATAATAACAACAAAATATATTTTAATAACATTTTTATATTTATACTCTAATTTCCATTTAATATTTGCAATTATCACCATCATAATAATTATGATATTTATAATATCATATGAATGATATGAAAAAAATATAAAATTATATTAGAGTTTTTTATATAAATTTAACTTTTTAAAAAAAAAAAATCAGCTCGTTGAGCAGGTTGTCAGCTCGTCGAGCCATGCATCCAATGAGCCTGGCTCGTTAGACTCGTTTTTTAATGAGCTAAAAAAATCATGACTCAGATCGCTCGTTTTCTGGTGAGCCACGAGCCGGCTCGCGAGCCGAGCTCGTTTTGACAGCCCTAATGTGGAGAATGATTTTAGGTCAGCCAAGAAGAAAAATGAAGTTCTTCCAAGAAAGTAGGATTTGGGTTTTCACCCGGTGATGGTGAAAGGAACAGAACATGCAGTTGCCAAGATTCTATGCTAACTCTTCTGCAAGAGAACCCTTGTTCACTGAAAAAAGATGGATGGTTTAGAACTATCGACAGTAACGAGAAAAAGGAGACCGAATGAATTCCTACCTGCAGCGAATGATCACTGGAGTAGGTTTAAGAGCCTTTGGTCCGTTTCTTATTCCTCTCTTGTGCCGAGAAACCTGCATTATCAACGACGAAAAGCTTCGATGAAAACCTTTCTTTCTCAAGGCTTACACATCGACCCTTTCAGATAATGCAAGAGAACCCTTTCTAATGCTTGTTATATAATCCATTACCATCTCAGAAGACACCAACGGAAAGCTCAAGACTTTTGAAACTGAAAGAGCAAATGCAATCAAATCAAGCAGAAAGCTCGAGACTTTTGAAACTAAAAGAGCAAAGGGCAATCAATGATTCAAATCAAGCAGAAAGCTCAAGACTCCTGAAACTAAAGCAAATGCAACCACATCAAGCAGAAAGCTCGAGAATTCTGCCTCTGTTCCAAAGAGATAAGCTGTCGTTAAGGATCTCTACCGACCAAGAAAAACCCTAAAAACCCTAGGAGGATCGTATTCAAGCTAAAGTCTAAAACCCAGATACCGAACAGGCTATTAACATATGGAGCGACCATACAAAATCGAACAAACAGAATGTTAAAACCTCAAACGCCGTAAGGCTGAAAATTTGAATTCGAAGTGAGCGAAAAGCAGTTGAGTTTAGGGTTCCACAACCTTCTTTTTGGGCACAGCCATGAGCTCCATGGATCCACCAAAAGAGAACCCAAATCCGATACCCTTTTCGTCAACAGAACCCGATTGATCCTGATGGAACTCCGGCAAAACCAACGGCGGCGGCGCGACGGGACGATCGACGGCGCCGCCGGCCATGGGAGGTGGCATTGCGGCCACGTGGCTCAAGCTTCGGCATCCCAATACACACCCCGAGTTAACCGCAGCGCGTTTTACGGTCGCCAGTCTCAACGCCATTGATGCTCTTCTAGAGCTGACGGAAGACTGATACTACCAGGGTAACTTGGAAAAGAGCGAACAGGGTGAGAACGAACTAGGAAAATGGACGAAACGTGGAAACGACGCCGTCTTCTTCCATAGGATATAACCATCGTGCCGTTTGTACATTAGAAGGATGCAAACCTTGTCGGCCAAACTCATGTTGGTGGTAAAAGCGTAAATAACTGAAGTTTTCTGCCTATATATCCTAAAACAGAGTAATTTGAGAATATAATCTGCGTTGGAGTTGAAAAGCGGAGTGAACGCACCGAATCCATCGCAGTTCGAATTTAGCCATCGATCTGATTCTCTGGTAAGTCAAATCTGTTGCTGATCATGAATCCATGTACTACTAGAACTTATTCATGAATTCGTTTCGAATCGCTTACTCGTATATGTTTCCCCGTTTCAATTTCGTAAAAGCTGAGTGTATTCCTGTGCGGATGGATTCGAAATTTGCTATCGTTGCTTTACCAATCGGATGGTGCATTGGACTCGTTCTAGAAACTAAAACTCGAATCAGCTATTCGTTTCGATCAAGATTCCTATGTTCCGAATCCCACCGGCTACCGTTGTATCGTTTCTGCCCACGCTGGACCCTGTTGTCAATCTGATCAATTGATCTAGGGTTTAGTTGAAATTGCTTGATTTACTTGAAAAAGCCCCTAAATTTTGATTGTAGAAGATGGGGAAGGACTCGAAATCGAAAGAAGCAAAGGGTAAGGGAAAGCAAGCGAGTGGAAGTGATGAAGGTGGTTCTAAGGGGAAAGGCAAGTCTGGGAAAGGTTCAGATGGGCTTGGAACGTGCACCTATGTCAAAGGTTATTGTCTTCTGATGCTCATGTTTCTGTGTGACGAATTCTGATAAACTTTGTTGGTTTAAAAGTTTGCAATTTTTTTGCATTGTACATGTAAATATTCGTCTCACAATGTGTATCATTGGAGTTTTTCTTGTTATTTTTTATTTCAGCGAGGCATGTTCTGTGTGAGAAGCAAGGGAAGATCAACGAGGCATACAAGAAGCTACAGGACGGTTGGTTGAGCAATGGAGACAAGGTTCCTCCTGCTGAGTTTGCAAAGGTGAAAACCCCAATCTTCCTAAAAAAACTCGATTTGAGATAGTCAATATATGCATGTTTTTATCTGGTTTTACTGATAAATATATCCCAAAAGAGATTATAAAGGTTTTAATTTATGACAACATTCCATCACATGTATATTGCCGTCATATTTGGTTTAATAGTGTTATACTCGTGCAATCAAACCATGATTACTGTTGTTGAATGTTGATTTTGCATGTCTAACCTTTGGTATTACTTCTCTATATCAGGTTGCAGCAGAGTACTCAGAGTGCCCGTCCGGGAAAAAGGGTGGGGATCTTGGATGGTTCCCTCGGGGTAAGATGGCGGGTCCATTCCAAGAAGTTGCATTCAACACCCTGGTCGGAGCCACCAGCGCTCCTTTTAAATCTACGTACGTGATTCTCTCTTCCAATTCACATAGCAGAAACCCTAGTTCTACTGTGTATTCGCATAGAAAGTTTTCGACTTTACATTTTGCAAAGACTGTAATGTGATTATAATCATTCAGATATCATCGGGTATCGATAGACGATAATGATGACTGGCCAACCTGATTTGATATTATTATCATTCACAACCAATCACCGTATCATCGATAATGCTCTCATAAGTTGTTATGTGATCACAGGCACGGATACCACATAATCTTGTGCGAGGGAAGGAAGAACTAAAACATAGATCCATGCTTCTCATAATGGAGTTCTTGCTACTGTAACTTAGATCCTTGCTCTTATGGAGTTCTTGCCCAAATATTTTCAGCTTTATGTCTTTTTCTTTTCTTTTCTTTTCTTTTCAAGTTTCAACTCTGTATTTAGTTTTAAATAATGAATCAGGTTATTCCCATCATGAAACTTGGGATTATGGTCATTGCCAGAGAAGGAAACATGAAATGGAATGATGATGGATCGTTTTGTTAGATGGTGTTTCTTTATTTAGTTTTTTTTTTTGGTAAAATAGAAGCCCGAAGTTTAATTATCAGCAAACCTAAAACTCAGTTCAAATGCACCTGGATACTGTCTGCAAAGTAATTCTTATAAATGGGTCGGTTTACTCTGAACCGTTGACCCAATTAGTTTCAACTTTGACCGGTTTAGACACCATATCAGACATTCATGTTTTCTAAAAGACAGAAACTTTGCAAGGACAAGAGTCAGGACTCACCAGACAAGTTTTAAAGACAGAACACACCAAAGAAGTGAAAACACACACACACTACCTAAACCCCTCTAAAAACAAGACAATATAAAGATTGTTAGCTGATTCTTAGATGACTCATAAGCTTTCACCATCTTTTCCAAATCCTCAACAACATTTAACCCTGCAAACTGATATAAAAGAACTCAAGAACTCCATCACTCTGCAACATTTTTTCCCATCTTACTCGTAAAAATGTCGGTATTTGTTGTGGTGGCTTGCATGGTTATGTCATGGCTCTTCCTTCACAGGTGGAGCCAGAGGAACAAGAAAGGTCCAAAGACTTGGCCTTTGGTAGGAGCAGCTATTGAGCAGTTGATCAACTTCGACAGAATGCATGATTGGCTCGTTGAGTACCTGAAAGTGTCGAGAACGGTTGTTGTCCCGATGCCCTTCACCACCTACACTTACATAGCTGATCCTATCAATGTCGAACACGTCCTAAGAACCAACTTCTCCAACTACCCAAAGGTGAAACAAACATAAAAAAATCCAAACTTTGATGCTTTTTCAGATGAGAAATGCATACAAACTATCATTAGATGAATGTATATATGTTGTGGGAGATGGGGTTTTCAATGAGTGTTTCTTTTCTTTTTCTTATTTCTGTGTCTGAATGAAAGGGCGAGACTTACCATTCATACATGGAAGTTCTGTTGGGAGACGGGATTTTCAATTCAGACGGTGAGATCTGGAAGAAGCAGAGGAAAACCGCAAGTTTTGAGTTTGCTTCAAAGAATCTCAGAGATTTCAGCACTGTGGTGTTCAGAGAATATAGCCTCAAGCTCTTCAGCATCCTTTGCCAAGCATCTTTCACAGACCAACAAGTAGATATGCAGGTAAGTCCCCTCCCAAAATCTGTAAACCAAATTTCTTTTCTTTTTCTCTCCAACATTTTTTTTTTCTTTTTGATTTTTTTGCTATAGGAATTGTTGATGAGAATGACTCTGGACTCCATATGTAAGGTGGGATTTGGTGTGGAGATAGGAACTTTGGCTCCAGATCTTCCAGAGAATCGTTTTGCTCAAGCTTTCGATATGGCAAATATAATTGTAACACTTCGCTTCATAGATCCTCTTTGGAAGTTGAAGAAATTCCTTAACATCGGGTATGAGGCAATGCTCGATAAGAGCATTAAAGTCATCGATGATTTCACCTATTCTGTCATAAGAAGACGGAAAGCGGAAATATCAGATGCTCGGAATTCACTTGACAACAACAACAAGGTAAAACAGCTACAGCTCAGATGTATTCATTAGTCAAAGAGTACATATTCACTAGTGATTAACTGATCAGACAGTGAATATACCAGATGAAGCACGATATACTATCGAGATTCATCGAGATTAGTGAGGACCCAGGAAGCGAATCAACCGACAAAAGCCTCAGAGATGTTGTCCTCAACTTTGTCATTGCCGGAAGAGATACAACAGCAACAACTCTCACATGGGCAATATACATGATCCTTATGCATGAACATGTATCCGAGAAACTTTGCATGGAGTTAGAAGAACTCGAAAGAGAAAGAGCTAAAGAGGCTAAGATTTCACTGCAACAATGTGATATAGAGGATTCCAACTCATTCAATGAGAGGGTAACCAAATTTGCAGGACTATTGAATTACGATTCCTTGGGGAAGTTGCAGTATTTACATGCTGTGGTAACAGAAACACTTCGTTTGTACCCTGCTGTTCCTCAGGTATGCAGCATTTCCATTTCTACTAAAACATAAAAAGTGAAACCAATAGAGAGAAAAATGTAACATTTTTCACAATTTTAGGACCCGAAGGGCGTATTACAAGATGACATCTTACCCGACGGTACACAAGTAAAAGCAGGAGGGATGGTCACATATGTTCCTTACTCAATGGGTCGTATGGATTACAACTGGGGTGCAGATGCAGAATCTTTTAACCCCGAAAGATGGCTCAAAGATGGAAACTTCCAGAATGCATCTCCATTCAAGTTCACAGCTTTCCAGGTGTGTAATAGATTTATAAACGAGAAAAATCCCACCGAAAATGCTAGAAGTATAATAAACATATAATATATGATGGCTAACCAGATGGGATATGACTGCAGGCTGGACCTAGGATATGCTTGGGAAAGGATTCAGCCTATCTTCAAATGAAAATGGCACTTGCAATCCTTTGCAGATTCTTTAAGTTCAGTTTGGTGCAGAATCATCCCGTGAAGTACCGAATGATGACTATCCTATCCATGGCACATGGTCTGAAGGTCACGGTATCGAGACGTTTGTAGTGGAAACCACAACCTGGGTATGACAGAGTGAAGATTAATAAGTGAAACACATACATAGTTAAATCCCTGTGGAAATGATCTAAGAAGAATTATAAATCTCACGGCCATTGCTTGTCATACCACCACATATGATCTACAACCATTGTACATCTCTAAATTTTGTCTCTAAATTCTTCTTTGCTTACATCTAACTTGCAGTAAATGAATGAAACACCTACCAGAAGAATGAACACTTATCATTGTCACTTTAAGGTAATCTTCAGGTAAAGATCAACCAACACTTGAGGGGGGAGGGGGGGGGGGAGATGCACACTTTCGATACCAAGCAGACAAGACATTGTGTTGCCAAAGAGAATTTAAGATCAAGGCATCACAATGGATCCATTTTCAAAATTTTTGATCGCAAACAATTGAATATGAATTCATTTTTACTTTCAGAGATTATGTATGCATCACCAGAACCTACTGGAATTAGACAACACCAACCAGAACAAACTAAGCTAAAGCTACTCAATCTAAACGTCTTGGAAACCGTAACTATCCTACCTAAAGATTCAAAATTTCTTATCAAAGGGAAAATCAAGAAAAAACCCACAAGAGAAATCATGCTCATAACTGTGCTGTACTAAGAAATTTTACTGTTCAAGCAAAGAGAATGTCCAGAATGACGGTAGGGGAGAAACTTCAAAGATCCTGCCTAATGGAAGGATATGACATAATATCTCCAGCTATATTATTCTCAAATCACATCCCTAATTTTATGCTTTATTGTTGCCTAGAATATTGGCTATTCATTACTTAATCGTTGATTATATATGCTTATATATTCATATATTATTATTAATGAGAATATAAGAAAAACATTTCTCTTATATGGTATCAGAGCTTCGGTTTTTATTATAATTTTTTTTTCTAATCAACAATGTTGGTTGAAGGCGAAAGCGATGATGAAGGTGACGATGATATACTAAATTCAATAGTATCATCGTCTTGAATATCGTCCTATATTTCTTTTGCTTTTTTTTTTCTCCGACGACGGTGTTCATCAGCATCAACCCTAGCTGACATGCTGCCTTTTTCTTTTCTTTTTCGACGACGTTCGTTTATCGCCGTCAACCTAGCCGTTGTGAGATCTTTAAACCTAGATTTTATCTCCTTTCGATTGGAAAACTCCGATCTTCGATCCGCGTATTTGCATCACTTTTTTTTTTTCTCTCCAACGACTTCACTGCTAAACTATCACGCATTATGCATCACGCTTTTTGCGTCTTTACTTCTTCTTCTTTTTTCGGCCTAGCCGTCGTAATTTTTTTTTACTGCCGACCTCATTGTCGTGCAACCCAACTCGCGCATACGCGCCGCACATTTGTGCCATATCAGTCTCTGAGATTACCGTTTCATTCAAGAATTAGTGTCAGATGGCAACTTCGGATGACTCATATGATATCTCAAGATCAACTTGCAGATGCACTCACCAAATCTCTTCCGCGCACACGCTTCGATCATTTTCGGATCAAGATTGGACTCGCTCACGAGCCTCATCTTGCGGGGGCATAATGGAAAGATATGACATAATATCTCCAGCTATATTATTCTCAAATCACATCCCTAATTTTATGCTTTATTGTTGCCTAGAATATTGGCTATTCATTACTTAATCGTTGATTATATATGCTTATATATTCATATATTATTATTAATGAGAATATAAGAAAAACATTTCTCTTATACTGCCTTCACCATAGAGAGAGAGAGAGAGAGAGAGAGAGAGAGAGAGAGAGAGAGAGAGAGAGAGAGAGAGACAGATTCACATCATTCTCCGGATTCTCCTCTACGACGTAAAACCAAATGCCGCCCAAAAGAGAGATGGTACAGCAGCTCGAGGACGCTGTAGAACAGCAATGGAGACGGGTCTGTACAAACGCGAACAAGAACTCATTGGGTATTTCGTAAAATTCTAAGCCCAATTTAACCCATTACGGCCCGTCCCGTAATGCCTACGAATATTCCCTGCGTGAAGTTCAGGCTTCATAGAATCCTTATAATGCAATTGAGACACACCAACACGGATCGCGTTTGACCTGTTCTTCGTCGGGTTCCGGAGTTCGTCGTCCAGTTTCTGTGGAGCTCATCGGGTAAAGGTTGCAGATTTTCGTTTAAATTTATCCATTGATTTGCTTTATCGTGCAGATTTGCCATAAGTTCGTTGATTAGTAGCAAATAAGGAAAAAAATCTAGTGAAGGTTCTGAAATTCTTATGTGATCTTCTTCCAGCCCTTTTGCCAGACTCTTAGTGATGATCTTTTTATTTTGTGATCGGTATCTAAAGATAGCTTTTTGCACATTTTTGTTTGAGAAAATGGGTTGACGTTAGATTTGGTTATCATGTATTGATCTTGAACTTGGATGGTAAAGCATAGAGGAAGACAGAGAGAATTTAAGGTTCTGGATAATTGGTTGTACATGAAAACAGACAGATGATGTTGTAAAGTATTGATGTCGATTTCTTGGACAAGGTAGATCTTGGATTCGCCTAAAGAACCGATAATTTCTTGTCCGAAGATGGAGGATGTCAAGGAGAAGGAGCTTTCTGATGACAACAACAAGAACATTGAAGATGAGAAAGATTCAGACAAGATGAAAGATCATGAGATTTCTCCCTCTAAGCTCGCGGTAATACAATAAGCGAAATTCTGGAATATTTTCGAAGTTGGTTTGCCTCTAGGAGATGAAAATTCACTTGCACTGGGCACATTGATCAGTGATGTTCGAATGGGTTTGATGTTTTTGTCTAGTTCATGATATAGGATACTTATATTCCAATATTTCATGGCCTTATACGTTCTACCAGAGAATCTTTAAGGTTTTGGGTTTTCCCTCTGCAATATTTGTTTATCTTAATGCTGATATAGTGACGATGATCAATTCAATTGTTGATTTGTGTAGGAAGACGCAATCAAGAAAAAGTACGGAGGATTGTTGCCAAAAAAGCACCCGTTGATAGCTAAGGTAGCGTAAATTTACCGAGCACATAGAAAAGTCGTCTCCTTTTACTGGTGTATTTGCTGGTTTTTATGATCATATATATATACTAGAGAAGATGATGTAGCTGTGTTTATCCATTGTTCAAGGATCATGAACGGGCGTTTTTTGACTCGGCGGATTGGGCACTGGGAAAGGTGATTCTTCTATATCAATCTTTACTTACTTTCATTCGTTAATGGATATACGTAGTAGCTTTGAATAGTTTCTAAAGGGAATGGAGAGCAAAACCCTAATGTCTTGAATTCGATGTGTTCATCAGCAAAAAGGGCAAAAGCCGAAAGGATCTCTTGAAGCCCTTCGCCCGAAACTGCAGGTAAGAGTAAAATTACCCTTTTTTTTCCTTTGCTATGTAATCTTCTTCAAGTTTCTAACTTTAATCGGTCTTCTGACATGCAATGTAACAGCCAACACCACACCAGCAACTGAGAACTAGACGCTTGGCTTATGCTTCGGATGATAACAATGAAGGTAATGCACAAAAAGATGAATTCACGGCCCTTTTTTTACCGTTCTATTGATATATCAGATATCTGTTTTGATCAGAATCCGAGGACGAAAAGATCGATGATCAAAGCTGTTCATCGTCAGCTGTTGTTAACAGCAGCTTGAAGGAAAATGGCGAAGAAGGTAACATGGAAAGCAACTCCAAGACTGAACATAGCGAGATTTCTTGATGAACAACAGCACTAAGTGGCATTTTACCCTCACAGAGAGTCTGAATAACAGACAAAAACCCGTTCCCAAAATCCGTTAAAGGGTTGCTGTATTAATGATTTATTATGGCCCTTGTGATATCATTACAATCTTTATGCACTTATTTTCAGCTTTTCCATTCAGACATCTTTAGTCAAGATATCTGTTTTGTGTAGACAGTGATGTGTGCATGTAAAACTAAATATTCATCGGTGATTACGAGGAACATTTTGTCGTCTTCCCCGTGGCGGAAGTTCCGCTGGTGATTTTTAAGGCACGTGAGCTAAATCGGGAAGACCATACACAGAAGAATCACGTTCCGACACAGTCTTCCTTCCACAATCTCTGATCTTGTGGAAAAAGGCATTTCCTTGAAGCCACCGCTACGACGCCGTTTCTTCCCATCCGTCCCTCCTTACACGCTTCCGGCTCCACGGTTGCTTCCCCTTCTCCTTGTTTTGTAAAGATCGTATTTTTCTGCATAATTTAGCTAGAAAAAGATTATTGAACTTTTCTCAATGTTTGACTTTGCTGTGAAAGAACGAGATCGTTCGTGGTAAAGTTTGATACTTTGCGTAGATTTATGAGAACATGGAAAACCCTTTGGACTCTAATGGCAGAATTTGTTTTGGGTTTAACTTGGAACAGAACTGGAAACGATTTCTGTTGTCTGTCGGATCCATATCAAAGGACCTGATATGATAATGTAATGCCATGTAATGTCCTAAAACCTGCTTGTGTTAGGACATGAGGAACACAACGCATCCTCGAAGGCCAGATTGGTATCAAGGGTTTTTCGCTTGGTTTCTATCCAAATTCATGGCCTCTTACGAGGCAGAGGTCAGTATTGTTCTCAAATCTACAGTACTGTATTAATGGTTTGATCTCACGAAACTTATATTGTTTTCCATTTCTTTGTTCTTTTGCTTAGGTTGCGAGTTACAAGATGAAGCTGTTTGACAAACTGGTGGAAAAGGCTGAGAAAGTGTTGGAAATCGGCATCGGGACAGGACCGAATCTGAAGTACTACGCTGGTAATAAGAATGTTTCTGTTTATGGTGTGGACCCGAATCCCATGATGGAGAAGTATGCTCGTGAATCAGCTGCAGAAGCCGGTCTGGAACCAGAAAAATTCAGATTCATCCATGCAGTAAAGTCTTGATATCGAAAAAGTGTTACCCTTTATCCGTTAATCCATATCCATTGATGATACGTATCCAGTTGGTGTTGTTTTCAGGTCGGAGAATCGATACCATTAGACGATGCATCTGTTGATGCAGTCATTGGGACACTCGTTCTATGTTCTGTCTCAGATGTAGCTCAAACACTCAGTGGTATGAACTTGCCAGAAAGCTCCATTGCCACTATTTAATCGAAAACTCCATTGTTAAAACTCGTGAGAAATCTGCTTTCTTGTATATTTACCGTTCTCCCATGGTTTTGTGTTCTTCCAGAGATAAAGCGAGTGCTTAGACCAGGGGGAGCCTATCTTTTCATGGAGCATGTGGCTGCAGAAGGTAAGGAAGAACCCTTTCAAAATCACAAAATTTGGATGCAAATCCGAAACAAAATCAAAGATCTGTTTTTTTTTTTTTTGCGCAGATGGGTCGATTCTGAGGTTTGTGCAGAATCTGTTGGATCCATTGCAGCAAGTAGTTATAGATGGATGCCATTTAACGAGACGGACAGGAGAGTACATTTCGGAAGCTGGCTTTAATGGCGGCCAACAGATCAACAAGGTCTCTGTGTATAGCTTTCCACATATGAGCTCTCATGTTTATGGCGTCGCCTACAAGTGAAAACAAAAACTCTGAGAGGACGAACAATTCTATACCTTAAAGCTTTCACATTTGAATAATTTTCGGCCTGTATATCCAAGGGAAAAAACAGAGAGGCTATACTCATTGCCTTCTTCCTCTGCCACTGTCACGGCAGCGGAAAACATATATATATATATATATGTACCACAACGAATATCTTCTCTTTCGTGTCTGTAGTCGATGAGCTGATGACCCTGATGACGATCCAACATTCTCGTCAAATCCAAGGAAACATCACATGGATCCAACACACAAACCAAGCAAAACAGCTATTAGGCCGAAAGTCGACCCCGCTTCTTACACGAGTGCAGTCGGGAGTTTGAGGTACCTTGTTAACATTCGTCCTTATTTAACATTCTCTGTAAGAGTTGTAAGCAGATTCATCGTTCATGGAATCTCCAACCACGTATCATTTGGTCGCGGTGAAGCAAATCCTCCGCTACATGAGAGGAACGATAACATTCGGTTATACCTGTACTTTCGCACGAGACAAGGCAAACAAACTCGAGCTGATAAGATATTGCGACACTGATAGTGGCCGCACCCTCAAAACGGAGTATGCGGTGGCGACTACAGGAGCTTACCGAGGAATATGGCTCGGGACGACTATCAAAGAAACTCAGGAATGTTCAATCGAGCAAAGATCGTGCCACGAATCGAGAACGAATGGACGATAACAGAATCCAATACATCACAACATAAGCAAATACATCGAAAAGGTGTCAATTTTGACAAGAGATCCGAAACTCGGTTCGGTCCCGTCCAAAAAAATAGCGGACTTTGAGCCAAGATATTTAGACTCAAAATTTTCGATTTTTTGGGTCGAGTTCGATTCGGGTTGGTCCGAAAAGTCCGATAATTTTTTAAAAAAAAATCTTTAAAAAAAAAGAAAATTGGGTCGATCTGACACTTAGACCGAAATCTATAGGACCAGATTTCAAATTTGATGATATAAGCCCAAAAACAATCGGATCGATCTGAGACCAAACCCAAAACCTTCGAATCGAGCGCGAGCTCAGACCGGATCCAACCGTGCCCGCGCGATTGGCACCCTGCATAGACATCAAATATCATGTGTGAACACATATGGTCAACTTCTATACAGTTTTTTATATTGGTATAAATATATCCAACCTTTAAAAAAAAGTTGATGACTACAAATAAAAATGCTTAGGCAACGAATCATCGCCATCGGGCCCACAATCTCCTATCTCTTCATTATTGCATATTCCTAGTCTCTATTTTGTCTCAGCGGACAAGAAAGGTCACTGTATTCAAGCACTCGGTCCGTCATCGGACATCCAGAAAATCAGAGTCCGTGTCTTACAAGTCCGTTTGCAATGCAGATCTTGAATTCACCGCTTTCACCACCGATTTTGTCGGCCAAAGATTCAACTCGCGGAATGGTCAGATCTTCACGAGATTATGTTCGTGTCGGAACACAGAAGAATCACGCTCCGACACAGTCTTCCTTCCACAATCTCTGTTCTTGTGGAAAAAGGCATTTCCTTGAAGCCACCGCTACGACGCCGTTTCTTCCCATCCGTCCCTCCTTGCACGCTTCCGGCTCCACTGCTTCCGGCTCCATGGTTGATTCCCCTTCTCCTTGTCTTGTTTCGTATTTCATGGATATGGTAAATTTTGATTTCTGGGTTATAAAACCCTTGGCTTGTTTACTTGTTTTGAATGTAAAGACCGTATTTTCTGCATAATTTAGCTAGACAGGGGTTATTGAACTTTTCTCAATGTTTGACTTTGCTGTGAAAGAACGAGATCGTTAGTGGTAAAGTTTGATACTTTGCGTAGATTTATGAGAACATGGAAAACCCTTTGGTCTCTAATGGCAGAATTTGTTTTGGGTTTAACTTGGAACAGAACTGGAAACGATTTCTGTTGTTTGTCGGATCCATATCAAAGGACCTGATATGATAATGTAATGCCATGTAATGTCCTAAAGCCTGCGTGTGTTAGGACATGAGGAACACAACGCATCCTCGAAGGCCAGATTGGTATCAAGGGTTTTTCGCTTGGTTTCTATCCAAATTCATGGCCTCTTACGAGGCAGAGGTCGGTATTGTTCTCAAATCTACAGTACTGTTTTAATGGTTTGATCTCAGAAACCTATAATGTTTTCCATTTCTTTGTTCTTTTGCTTAGGTTGCGAGTTACAAGATGAAGCTGTTTGACAAACTGGTGGGAAAGGCTGAGAAAGTGTTGGAAATCGGCATCGGAACAGGACCGAATCTGAAGTACTACGCTGGTAATAAGAATGTTTCTGTTTATGGTGTGGACCCGAATCCCATGATGGAGAAATATGCTCGCGAATCAGCTGCGGAAGCCGGTCTGGAACCAGAGAAATTCAGATTTATCCATGCAGTAAAGTCTTGATATCGAAAACGTTTTACCCTTTAATCCAGTCATCCATTGATGATACGTATCCAGCTGGTGTTGTTTTCAGGTCGGAGAATCGATACCATTAGACGATGCATCCGTTGATGCAGTCATTGGGACACTCGTCCTCTGTTCTGTCTCAGATGTAGCTCAAACACTCAGTGGTACAATGCTTTCTTCACGTCCATGAACTTCTCAGAAAGCTCCATTGCCACTATTTAATCCAAAAACTCCATTCAATTGTCGATACACTATTCTTAAACTCGTCTGCATTAATTGAGACTAGGGTTTGTAATGTTACAGTTTCCATGGTTTTGTATTCTTCAGAGATAAAGCGAGTGCTTAGACCAGGAGGAGCCTATCTTTTCATAGAGCATGTGGCTGCAGAAGGTAAGGAAGAACCCTTTCAAAATCTGTAAGATTGAATGCAAATCCAAAACAAAATCCGTTTTCTTTTTTTTTTTTTGGGGCAGATGGGTCGATTCTGAGGTTTGTGCAGAATGTGTTGGATCCATTGCAGCAAGTAGTTATGGATGGATGCCATTTGACGAGACGAACAGGAGAGTACATTTTGGAAGCTGGCTTTAATGGCGGCCAAGAAATCAACAAGATCTCTGTGCATAGCATTCCACATGTGAGCTCTCATGTTTATGGTGTCGCCCACAAGTGAAAAAAAAAAACTCAGAGAGGACGAACAATGTTATATTCAAAGGCACTCATTGTCTTCTTCCTCTGTCACTGTCACGGCAATGGAAAACATCGACATTTGTATACCACAGCATGAATATCTCTTTCGTATCTGTAATCGTTGAGCTGAAAACCCTAATGACGAGCCTACATTCTTCACCGATCTCGTCGATCGGATATTTGCCTCGACGATCCATTAGAGCTTCCCGACATCATCGTGTTCTTGTCGAAGCCCAGAAGATTCACGTCCCGACAGAAGATGACGGCTCCTGCAGGTTTTGTTCTTGCGGAAGACGGCGTTTTCTCCGAGCTGCTGCCACGACGCCGTTTCTTCCCCTCCATCCCCTCGACGCTTCCGCTTCCACGGCGGTCTCTCTCTCTCGCGCGATATCGATCGATTTCCTTCACCTGATTAGCATGGATTAACCCATAAAGAGTTGAGCTTTTTCCTCTTAGACATGATTTTAGCTGCATGGGAGATGGTTTCTGGATATGGGTCTCGAATTTTATCAGATTTATTGCCCCCAGATGCAGAGTTTGCTAGTGCTAAAGTTTGGTACTTTGTGTAGGTTTCGCCCAAAATCGAAGTAATTAGGGTTTATAACCTGAATCTGGGATCTGGGTTGTGTTGTTTTTAGGATGGTTTCAAAAGAATTCACCCTCCAAGGCCTGGTTGGTACGAAGAACTCTCTGCTTGGTCGATGAACACAGGGATGCAATCTTATGAAGCAGAGGTTAGGGTTCATCATTTGGATCCATTGCCATGTTTCTCCATTTGACAGACAGACTGATATCTGTATATCATCTTCCTATTCGAGATTGCCGGCTACAAGATGAAGCTCTTTGATAATTTGGTGGGGAAAGCAGAGCAAGTGTTGGAGATTGGCATAGGAACAGGCCCTAATCTCAAGTACTACGCTTCTATTCCAAATGTATCAGTCCTTGGTCTGGACCCGAATGCTAAAATGGAGAAATATGCCCGGAAATCCGCTGCAGAGGCCGGTCTGAAACCCGAAGACTTTAGATTCATTCGTGCGGTATGTGATGATATCTATATGCCGTATCATCATCATCGATTTCTTTGTTCCATCAGTTGACTACTGTGATATCTATATGGTTGGTCTGATACAAGGTTGGAGAGGCTATGCCATTAGGTGACGCCTCCATTGACGCGGTCATTGGAACACTCGTCCTTTGCTCGGTCTCGGACGTGGCCCGAACACTCGAGGGTAAGTGCTCTTGCCCCCATTTACGGCCGTATTTCGCACGTCAACGAACACATTATATACTTTTGACCACAAGCTTCCATGGATTTGGGTCACAGAGATAAAGCGAGTGCTGAGACCTGGAGGGGTTTATCTGTTCATAGAGCATGTTGCAGCTGAAGGTATCAGATCAAAAACCCTTTTCGAAAATCCATTGCAGAGGGACGACGAACGTCGATTTTTGTCTTTCCGGGTGGGATTTAAACTTTGTGCAGATGGATCGGCTCTTAGGTTTGTGCAAAATGTGTTGGATCCATTGCAAGAAATAGTTGCAGATGGATGCCACCTCACCAGAAGAACTGGAGATTCCATCTCAGAAGCTGGATTCAGTGGAGGTGCAGAAATCAACAAGGTCTCCTTGTCTAGTGTCTCATATATAAGCTCTCATGTATATGGAATAGCTTATAATTAATATATATATCAAAGGAATATTCACTATATAAAAAATAAATATCTATACGTTACAGTGACGATGAAAATCTAAATAACTTGTAACTTTTGTGTTCTGTTTGCTATATTGAAAGAGAACAATTTAACTTGAATTTCGTATATGTTATATTGAGGCGGATTTACGTCTCTCACAATTGGGCCTGATACGTGGGCCTCGGCCCAAAATAGGTACGAGACTTTATTAGATAACCTAGAAACAATAATTGGATTTGGAGGTATAATGTTTACGAATTTGCCATTTAAAAAAAAAAACTATCAGAAACTATGTTGATTTTGTAATTTGACACTGGTTGGTCTGACTTTAATTAAGTAATCAAATGAATATTATATGTTTCTGCTATCTAATTGAATCATAAATTTCTTTTTTATTCTAATTAAACATTAAATGCGATTTTAATATTCAATCGGGATATCATATGCACCAAAATCAACTGTAGATCAGTTTTTTTATTAAATATCAAAATATTAAATTAGTATTTTATTTAAATATTGTATATAAATACCCGAACTTTTACAAAAATCCTAAATAAATATCTGAACTATAAAATTTCTAAATAAATATTTGAACTTTTTAAATCTTCTATATAAATACTCAAATTTTTAAAAATTTATCAAATCAAATCAAAATCTATTGACGACGTTAAACTTATAATAGAATCCGTCGACAATTGATGACTTAATCGTCAGCGAATATTATTTTATTTGGTAAATTTTTAAAATTTTGGGTATTTATGTGAAATTTTTGAAAAGTTTATGTATTTATTTGAGAATTTTATAGTTTAGATATTTATTTGATATCTTTATAAAAGTTCAAATATTTATATGAGATTTTTTTTTTTAAATATTAAAAATTGGGTGCATAAACCACTATGTCAATTTATAGTAATTCTATATTGAAAAAATGAAAAGAAAAGTTCAACCTCTCAGACGATAATGAAATCCAATATAGCCATAACTACTGAGTACAATATATATATATATATACACACACACACATATTCCCCTGTATTAGGATACAAATAATTCAGATTAACGATTCTAATTTCATCACTAATTAAAGATGTTAGAGAATGTAGATAATATATTTTATAATATAGTTTATATATTATTATATTTATTATTTACCTTAGATTTTCTTATTATACAAGTAATTTTTTTATGAATGTATTTATCTCCATATACAATAATTCTAAACTTTGAATAATAAATGTTCAATAATATTTTATTCAAATATTCATAATACTCAAAGATGCAATACAAATTATATTTTTTTAATATTATCATTTGCTCATTTACTTGCAGAGATTGTCTTTAAATGTATCCGTCGATTCGGTATCTATATAATCATATCTACTAATAATAGTGTGGTTCTTTTTCTAATTTTAATTTCTTTAATCGGGTCGGAAGGTTATATTATTCAATATTTCTATAATTTCATCTACCAACCATTGAAACATCCGCCACAAAAAATAATAATAATAATATTTTTTTTTCCATCGAACCAACCACAAGCAAGCAAGCAACGACCTTCTTCTATTTGTCGAAAAGACCAACCGTTACAACTGTTGGCTCTGGACCATTTTTTTTTTAAACCTAAAATAAAAAAAAAAAGAGGGAGGAATTTTCAAAATAAATAAATAATATTATCCTCTTTGTTTCGACGATGATATTACCAATCTATTCATTTATTTATTTATTAAAAAAAATCGCACCATTTTATTTTTGGTATAAATTGGAGACGACAAAAGAAGCCGAACGTTGGCATCAGAAACGGGGTTTTAACCCTAATAACCCACTTGGGTCGCAGCAATTTCAGGGTACACCACCGAAAAAAAAAAAAAAATTTGCGACCTTATTACGACTAGTATATAACTAATATACAACTAAAATAAGAGTAGTTTATTAGTCGTAATAAGTTGTATATTAGTTATATATTAGTCGTAATAAGGTCGCAAATTTTTTTTTTTTTTTCGGTGGTGTACCCTGAAATTGCTGCGACCCAAGTGGGTTATTTGAGTAATATTCCCATCAGAAACTCCAAATAAAATACAAAAATTAATTATGATTATCTCGTCGATATTCGGAAAGAAATGATAAAATTTTAAAAAAGAAAAGAAAAGAAAAGCGTCGCAATTTAGAAGATACGATGTGGTCTGCAATAGCAGCAGACAAAATAACGAAAGGTTACAAAGCGAAGAACATGTTACCAAATTTTGCACATGAGCGAGTGTCACGTCAATGTTCTAATCGTTCACGAGCACCCATTTTCTTCAACTTGTGTGTTTTTTTTCATTATTATTATTTCTTGGATTTTCTCTCCCCAAATAATTTCGTTATCGGTCCATCGTGAATTTAATACCGAGATTAGTATATATGTGATTGTAATATGATAATAATCTTGGTCAGTAATAAGCTAAGACCGTTCGATATCAAATCCTCAATCAAGATTCTTGTAATTATTATTATTACGATCGTGGTTATATCGATTATCAATTTTTTTTTTGTATAATGAAGAAAAGAAAACGATTGTAAGGATAACGCGTGCACATGCAGCTGTTGGTCGCATGGTCTTTCCACCCAAATGACCAGCATTCGGCGTTTTGTTTCATAAAAATAATGTCACAAAAATTCCGAAACTGAATTTTATTAAAGATTTCTATATATATATGATTACATATATTATACAATCATTTATTAGGAATATTTGTGTCATCTGTAATAGATATAGGACGTAGTGTAATAAAAATAACCAATGACAAAGAAATATATATATATATATATATATACATATTATGTAATTATCTTAAAGTCGAACATATATATGGCTTATAGTTTCGATATAATTATTTCTTTTTTTGTTAAAAAAAAAGTAAATATGCAACCTTTTGTCAATTGAACGGTGTGTGGCTTATAGTGTTCGTCGGTGGGGACCGAATTGCTCTTTTTTTCATGTGAGATGTTCGGATTCATCGTGAATTAAAAAAAAATTAATATAGCACAAAAATATTACCATGAAATTAAAATTAAATAACATTTGATAGTTTGGTTGTAATTTTATCCAAAAAATACATACATTTGGACTTAATTTATTCTTTTGAATAAGTGTGTAGGATCCCAAAATTTGTATTAGTTCAAATATTAATATTTAGCTGTAACGTTATCCGAAATCTTGAAGAGTCAAAATCTTTATAATTAATGGCATATAAAAAAAAAGATCTTTATGCTAATGTCTAATGGTCCCTATTAGATATAGGTATCAAATAATCAATATCTTAGCCATCTTCGTTTGGTCCATTTCTATCCTATGCCATCAATTTGCAAAGGGAATTTGCCCCTAGAGAAAAAAAAAAAAAAAGAAATTTATAGCCATGAGAACGGGTAAATGGCCATCTTATATATAGAATCAATATTTAAAATATCAAAAATTTATTTTTTTAAAATACAAAAATCTATTTTTTTTATTGATGTTAAAATTGGATAAAAATTGACATCGAACCATAGATAAGATTACATAAAAAAAAAAGGTCAGAAATGTTACACGTTGACTCTCAAACAAAGATTAATATTGTTTTTGTTAAAATGGAATAATGCATAAATTCGAGTTCGACCGACCGAATGGTGAAAGTTCGAATCTTTAGGTTATCTTTATCGTGTGGGGAGAGAGAGAGAGAGAGAGAGAGAGAGAGAGAGAGAGAGAGAGAGAGAGAGAGAGAGAGAGAGAGAGCACAATGTCGCTATATGGAGGCGCCCCCACTTGGTGTATATTTGCATGTGCTAACATAAGGCCAATATTTAAAGACCCCTTAAAAAAGCGAAATTAAAATTTTTTTTTATCCGCATTTAAAAAGCGAAATTATTAAAAAGACATCCAGATGAAAAACAAAATAAAAATACATCTATACGTACATTTGTTCACTTGCTCATTTATATACATATTTATGATATATTTGAAGTCGCTATTTATCTTAATCTACCACACTACATTTTAATTGGTTGTCTCTTTAATATCTCATTTTATACAAGATGGTTAATTCAAATATCTACAAAACATTAAACTCTTAAAATAATCATTACACAAATATATACTTTTGTTTCTGAATTACATACAAATATCCAGTTATAGTTCAATTCAATTGCGAACTCTATTGGCTCGTGGGAATGGGCTTTAAAATATCTTGAAATGATTAGAATCGAGTATTAAATATAACACTTTCACGTGAAAATAAAAATATCTAAGGTTTTCATTCACAACGAATCATATTTTTTTTTTAGCTTTGAAGTTTCGAGAAAATATTAATTAGTTGTCAGCTACGTATTTATTAATGATTTCGTCGATATATAAATCTATTTTTATATCCAAATCTATTTTTGTTGTTCGGCCGCCAATTAAATTTTGAGTGAATAGAAAAGCGTAATTGCACGTGAGTATTTCTACGTATATGTGAAGCACGTAAATACGTACGTAGAGATTACGTTTTGATTCGACCAAAGTGGTGATGATGTATGGAAGCATCACCATATGGTCATATATAGAAACTTATTATATGTGTTTTATATAAACGGAAAATATATTTGGATAATAATGGGCGCATTTTCGCATTAAATACAATAATTGGGCAAAGTGCAATGTGATGTCAAGCTGGCTACGATTATAATGCAAGTTGTGTTTATTTTCCTTTCCTTTTTATTTTTCCTTTTTCACTAGATATAATTGTATTAGAAATATAATATTTAACAAAAAAAATATTAAAAATATAATATATAGATATAACTTTAACTCTCCGTAATTTTTAATAAATTAAAAAAATATATATTTGTCAAACAAAGCATGTTATCTGTTTCCAACTTGATACTGAAATCTTTGCATTCCAGATTTTGTAAGGTGCGAAAATATTTTGGGTAAACCGGTATCGGGTTAAATCCGGTTCTTGGGGCTGCATCTAACCAGTAAACCGGTATGAAAAATGGGCCCTGCGTACATCTGGGTCAACCCGGTTTTACTGCCAGTAAATATATATGTATATGTTTGGCCAAACCATTAATGTATGAAAATTTATATTCTTAATATTGGATATTATTT